ACTCGATCGCTCCATCGTCAGGCGTCTGGGCCACCGGCCACTACAAAAACCGAGCTTGGCGATCGAAAAGCTCTCCAAGCTCGGTTCTTGTTACTTCAAGAAATTCCAATGGATAGGTACCGCGCTCGACTTTGCGCTCAAAGAGTAGGCGCTTCTGTAGCCGCAATGCGGACTATTCCTACGGTACTCGCCCATGGCGAAACTGCTGCAAATGATGAGACGCTCTGTGAGCGATGGGTGCAGTGGCACCGGAAACTTTCCTTGCTGTCTAACTAACAGCGGAGCCACAAGGAAGTGGACGTGCGTAGAAAACCATCTCCGGTGCAAGTTTGCCAAACTCAAGGTCCAACGCCGACTTCCTATGTATTGTCGCCCTGCGACACATGGAGTCATCCATCACGCTCCCGCAATCTCTGTGGTTTCGCATAGGTGAGTAGCAGCTCAGGGCCATAGCTTGAGCTCAGCTCATGGCCCTTCCGTTTTCCGGGCTACTGTCGAGAAGCACGGGGGTTCGACGACGTGGAGCGTCACTATCCTTCTGATCATAATCGTCCACGACGTCTGGACAGTCTTGCCGACGTGGCACCTCAACTACTCATAAGTTCTCGGCGTTTGGGTATCCCAACCACTTCACAATATGTTTGGTTTGACTCTGTCGGCGACGTTGACCAACAAGGCGTTCCACGTGATAGTGGACACCACCGTTCTCGTTGAAGATTCGGCGGCGGACGATGACGACTTGGTCGATTGCCGTCCGGTGAGTCGCGATGCTCTTCTTTTCTCTTCTTTTCTCTTCTTTTCTCTTCTCTGCTCTTCAAGCTCTTGAGGACAAAGCCCTTCGACATCAGCACTCCGCAGAGAATTTTGCCCAGGTTGCATACGTCTGTGCGGAAAACCTAAGATTTTAGAGCACTTTGTGCACCGGCTGCCTCACTTTGAGGACTATCGCGCTCTACCGAAGCGGCTTCTAGACGTCTAGCAGACGAATGCGTCATTTCGTGCAACGGTGAAGCGCCTGGCGCCGTTGGAAACGAAAACTGTTGTACTCCGTGCTCAGAAGCAGTTGCTGGTTCAGCATCTGGGTGGTCGAGGGCGTTTGAATGCCGCCCCGGCGCCAACGCTTCCGCGTTCATTGCGCCGGATTCCAGTACGGCCCATGCGAGCCTACATAAAACGTCGAGTGGGTGCGCATCCTTCTCGGAAGGTTTAGCGTATACGCAAGGTTTTGCTTGGCCACGACCTACCGTGGACGGAGTCCCTTCCGAAAGACAGCAGAAACTGCATGTGTAGGAAGATTTTTAGCATTTAATATAACCAGGTCTCCGACCTCAATCTTTTCAGCATTTCTTCTGTTTCATCCGTCTGTATATTCTTTCTGCATGTCTTGTCTTTTAGCCATCGCATCGCGAACATGCCGTAAGACACTCTGGTAGACAGGAACTAATCGACTCTTTTACGAACACTGAGGGAGCTGACATCAGCTAGCCGCTCGGCTATTTCCCCCACCAATCCATGAGCCATGGGATGACGGCGTTAGCGAGACGTGAGGGTTAACAAGCCGGTTCACGTAGAACGGTGTGTAGCCGGTAGACGCATGCACTGCATTATTCAGAGCGAATTCCACAAGTGGCAGCATGACGCTCCAGCGCTTCGGCGTCTCAGCGCAGACGCTGCGAAGGACGTCTTCGACGACGCAATTTATGCGCAAAGTCTGACGATCGGTCTGCGAATGGTCGGCTGTTGACATAGTCAACTTGGTGCCCAGCACCCTGAAGATTGTAGATCAAAACTTCCCAGCGATTCGTGGGTCTTCATCAGAGACAATTTACTCCAGGGATTAACGTTGTCGAAAGACAGCGTCGCTGTACCAAAACCGTCGATGGTGCCCGGTACTACTGCAAGATGAGCCTTCTTGATTAAACGGTCAACAAAATTCACCACATTCGTGTTGCCCGCCGAGTCCTTCGGCAGCCAAACACAAAGTCCATACTAATTGTCTGCTAACACCCGGAGGGTACCGGTAAACTTGCCAGTGGCGCCGTCGCATTCGGAGAGGTTTTCACCTTTTGACACGTCTTACACTTGCACACGTATGTGTTCGTCCATTTGTACAGCTTGGCCGCCAGTAGCGGCAACTCTGAGATGTAGGTCTTCTTACGACCGAGATGACCACTGAGTGGGGTGTCGTGAGCCACAGAGAGAATACTGTACTTCAAATCCTCATCGTGAGAAACCACAATCGTTGCATATCCGTTGTGTCGGTGCTACGAATACTGGTGCAACCGTGCGCCCAGTCGCGACAACAACTTTTTGTCCGAGTTTTCAAACTCATTGCTCCCGAGAGCCTGTTGCGGTGCTACACATACCATCACCTGCGTATACGACGCGGATCAAAATCGTCACTGACGACGTCACCGCCGTGACATGCTACGTGACATCGCATCAGCCAAAGCATTTTGCTTTCCTGGCTCATACTTCACCTCAAAGTTATATTATGCAAAAACTTAGAGCCTCCTAGCCCTTCTCTGCGAGAGGTGAGGCGACTGAGTCGCAGTGCGTTGTGACGCATGATCTGTGTAGATCACAAACGGCTTTGAGCTAAGTAGACGCACCCTGAACTTGACATGTGTATACTTCATCGCAAGTAATTCCCTGTCGTGGACTGGGGAGCTCTTCTTCGCAGCCTTAAGCTGGCGATATTTGAACGCGATCAACCGATCTCGCCCCTTGGCAGCAGTGCACAGCAAATGTCAAAGTCCGAAGCGTCACCGACGTCACTAAAGGACGATCGGGATCTGGCAATGCTAGTATTGGTGCATGAAGGAGGCTGTCGTTGACTCTGACAAAAGCATCCTAATGCTCGGTGTCCCAACACCATATCGCAAGTTTCTTAAGGAGGTTTGACAAAGGCCGTGCCATCTCCGCATAATATTTGCGCTATTCCTGTGCAAGAAGTTGGCGAGACTAAGCCACTTGCTCAAGTCTTTTTGGCTCTTTTGAACCGGTCAGTCCACAATAGCCTTGACCTTCTGGGATTCGCTCGAAGGCCACGGCGCCAGAGATACACTTATCTGCATTATAATACAGCTTGTTCGTGCGCCTGCAATCGAGGATCGCTCTCAAATGGACGATGTGGTTTTCCTCATCTGTCCTCTAGTGCCCGGCACGTGGATGAAGATGTCGTCGAGAGTCTATATAATTACGTTACAAGACGATTGAATGTTGCTGACGCATTTGAAGTCCTAGGAACATCACCAGGCACTTCCAGAAAAGGCCGCTTGGCCTGTCAGCTGAGTATCACTCGCTCTCGTGAGCAATTGGTAATACCATCGACCAAGTCACGCACACTGTTCTCTATAAAGCCAGCCATAGATCATCAATCTTAGGAATTGGCGTCTGTGCCGGAATGGTGGCAGCGTTTAGCTTATTGTAACCGTGGACGATACGCTGCTTGCCGTACGGCTTCCGGACACAAATGATGGGTGTCGAATGGGGAGACTTGCTCTTACGCATTGTTCCCGCGTCGTGCTCCGCACGGAAGAAAGCGTCAATGATGTCAGAATGCCTCTTGGGCATGAGGCATTGCCAGGTTACGCAGTATTTGGTTTCCTGAAACCAGGTCGATCTCATGACCACATCTTGGCCCAGAGGTAAAACCGACGGCGGGTCTATGAAGACGATGTCTTGAAATCCATTTCCCACATGATAGTACGGATCTGAGGGATCCTTCAGGATCGACGATTCACTTCGTGCGTTCAGCACGCTCTTGGTGTCTTCCAGGACAGCTTCATCCAGAAACGACGGCGAGTTAATCTTCTCGTTTGGTCGTTTAATGACCTCGGCTAAATCGCCTACATCCAGCCAAAAAGAGCACCTGCCCCGAGAATAACCTCGAGGGTGACGTCGCTGTCTTTCTCTCCCGTCATACTGTTGACGAGGGTGTATAGATGTGTGCTATCGTCTACGTTAGACACACCCTGGGTCAATATCGACGTCCTGCGTGTATAACTTTCCACAAGAGACTGGATACTAAAATGTTCGCCTACGGCGTCGCCGTCGCCTGCCCTCAGAGGTTTTACGTCTCGATGATATCGGTGGGAATACGTACTCAGCATCGTCCAGTATCCTCACTCCCTGCCATCGGATCCTGGATGTTGTTAATAAATTTTGACGAAAAGCTTCTAATTTCTGCAGTCTTCGTCCAGTGAGTTTCGTGCTACTCCACGTGCATCTGAAGGGTCCTTGCCCAGGATGCCTCGGACCTCGTCCGACCATGCCACTTTGGGCATTCAGCAACTGCTTCGACACGTGAGCAGCGCTCAGTGGATTACGTGCCACTCCACGTTCATCCTCTTGAGCACGGAACGTGTATGCAAGCCGGGCTTGCTGGTCGTAAAAGTGACCGTAGGGGTTTAAGAAGCCATTAGAGATTCTAATCAGTTTCGGGGCGTCGGACACTTATGCTCGACCCTCCACAATTGAAAGAAGCTGCGCTGAAAGCGCGGTTGAGTGACGCTGTCACTATTCGCTTAGCGACAGGAACTTGTGTCGCTGTGCGGAGGGTTTCTGTGGACATCAGTTTCTCGACTTTTATAGCGTGGAATGCTGTTTAGTCTTAGAGTTGGATATAAGGTATGACCTTATCCTTGGCATAGCAATATTGGAACATAAAAAGCCATGGAACGATTTAAAGTCGAAGACCGTGGGCGCTACGCGCTCGTCTTCTGGTGGAGATTTGGTAAGTCATAAACCCACCTCGGCTGGGAAGCGGGAGCGCTATTGGCGCGGGCACTAGGCCGGAACGGTCAAAATGCTGGAGATTGAAGTATTCGAGTTGTCGAACAGCAAAGGTGTTCTGGACAGGAGCCCCGAGCATGGCTCAAATGCTGAAGTGGAGTGGCACGTAACCCACTGAGTACTGCTCATTTTCCAAAGCAGTTTCTGCATTATGGTTGGCCAAGGACCAAAGTATCGAAGGCAAGGCCCCAGTCACGGAGCTCTCCGAGACTGTGATCTACCTCTGTGAGACTAAAAAAGCCCACTATTTCTCCAGTAAGGCGCCCGGTGCCTGCTAAATGGTGTCGTTTTCCTGGGACGAAAGTCGGTTCGATGGGCCTTGATGCATCTTTCTCAGAGGACAACCAACCCAAAGGTGACGGGTGTCTCCACAGACAAAACAACGTCGAGTGTTTTAATGCTGCTCGGCATCTTGGAGCTCTCCCTCATCTATCTTAGCATAGCTGAAATCCATTGGTTCAGGCCCGCTCGACGAGCTCTGAGGGTGTGCATTCCGTGCCGCCTTAAAGTTGAATTTGGCATTCACTGCCATATTCACCACTTCTTCAAAAGAAGACGGATGCACACGGATGACTTTTAATCTGGCCACTCCAGTGCGGGAACCGTCCACAAGACGGCCACTGTGACCGCCTCGGGGAAAGGATCGGCTGCCATTCCGACAATGACAGTTTTCAAGTCTTGGACAAAATTCACCAATTCCTTCTTGCCCTGTTGGGTGGCAATGTAACGTGGTCGCACGCGATATGCCTAATTAGGCGGCGAGAACACTCGCAAACGCTGCAGCTGTAGCTTCATTCAGGAGGAGAACGCCGATTCCACCAAAGTGCCGCACGTCAGTGCCCATTCTTGCGCTCTGCCCTGGAGCTCGGATATAGCTAGCACCATGCACTATTGCTCGTTCTGAAGCATGGCGGATGCCATAGCCATCTCTGCCTCTCTCAGCCGAAGCAGAAGATCCTCTCCATCCTTACCCTCGAGACGCTCATCATGAGCGGCCTATGTTGGGAGAAGTCATCCGTTCTCGACGGTGACGCCATGAACGCAGTCGATACTGACATCTTCCGCTGTAGGTTCTCCAGCAGAGCATTTTCATAGCTGTTAAATGCCTCCAGGTGCGCGCTTATTGCCTCAGGTTCTTGCAAAACAAGGTGTTGCACGCCTTCAGGCCCAATCAAAAACATCAGCTTGTTAAGCCCGTCCTGCATGCCCTGGGGTAAATGAAAGAATTGCTCCATCCTCACAGAGAATCAGTCGTAACGACTCGGACATAGATTGACTACGAGTGCTACCAAGTGCAGCTGGGCTGCCGTGGCTCTTTGTTAGAGGAAGCAAAACAAGGTGACCGACCTTACGTTCTATACCAGAACCAGTTCGAGTGTAGCGCATCGCAATCCGCTATCTCCAAGAGAATTTATAAACCTTTACCAAGGCATAGACGCTCTTCCGTTCAAAACTGAAACAGTATTTAATTGTTTTTTTTGTGGCAGAGCTGCCAATATCTGAAATCTTAGACTTTCCCGATTAATTAGAAAGACCTGATTAGTATTCCTTCTTTTATACGGTGTAGCCACAACATTGTGTGATTACACAGTCTTGAGTAATCAACACCTTTGTACGGTCACATCATCTTATGTGACCCACCCTTTCAGATAAGGGTAGGTGTAATACGGTTACACTATGGGTACATTTGACCCCGTTACATCGTTATTGAAAGTTGTTCGGGCGCAAAATGTCTCGGCGTTAGCAACACCAAAACTATTATCTATGGAGATGGGAGGTGATACCGCCTCCAGGAGAGGAGCTGCTGGTATGGCGGCAGCAAGAGTTCTCGACTAAACATATTCTGCTAGTTTTCGTATATCCTGATGGGTTATTTATACACCTTCCATTTATTAAATGCCAAGTTTACAGGACCTTCAACTTGAGGAACTTGCACGCCACGTAAATACTCCGTCTAAGAATGGTCGATGTTCATTGCTACATCAATATCCCTTCTTCATATCGACATTTTAATCTCAAAAGGCCGGACGCTCATCAAGAGCTACCACAGTAGTGGTCAGTTGTGTTCTCATCGGCGCACGGTTAAGACGTTCCTGTAGGCGTCTAATCAAATATTCTCCTAGCTGGTTATATCTTCAGGTGAGTGATTACCGCTGCCAGCCCTTTGGCTACTAAGTCTATCATCCACTCTGGACTGATTTTTGAGCTGACTAAGAGTGTATAATTGTCTGAGGTCAGATATATAAAACTTGGGATACATACCGTATGATGAAACAGTCTTTTAGAACTCAGTCGTCGAATAACTACAAATGCAACCAGGTGCAACGGAGTTGCAGTGCATTTTGAACAGAGGAACTTTTGAAACAACAGGTCTGTTTAACTAAACGCACAAAGGATGGGTCTATTATCTTTGCCAGGAGCGAAACAAGTAACTAAAAACTCAGTTTAGCTCATTAATGACTACATTTGGAAATAGGTCGTATTACTGGCCAGAACTCATATCAATAAATCGTCTCTAGTCACAATTAATAGGTAAAGTACCTATTTATTAATACACAATCAAAAGCGTTCAACCACCACAATGTTCGCCATTGCCCGTCTTGCCCGAGCTGCTCGTCCTGTAGTCTCCTCTCTACCAGTCGTACGATGTGTCTCATATGTAGCACCCCCTCAACTCACTGCGGATAAAAGCTATCGATTTGGTCTTAAGCTTGACGATATCAAATCCGAAACCGAAGACGAAGAGAAGACACTGACTCAACTAAAGGCGGTTCTGAGTCTAAATAATGCTTCGCAGCACGAACTTAATAAAGCCCAAGTAGCGTTGGCTGTCGAGACATTCCAACGCTTTCCAGGTGACACTGGCTCCAGTGAAGTACAGATAGCTGTACTTACTCAAAGGATTCTTCGTAGTACAGCTCATGCACAAGGCCATAAGAAAGATCATCACTCGCGTCGAGGTTTGATGGCAATGGTTGAAAAACGCCGAAAGTTGCTCAAGTATTTGCGTCGCAAGGATCTGCCCAAGTTTCGTGCTGTAGTCGCGGCGCTCGGTCTACGATTTACTTAGAGTAGACAAAAGTATAAGCAAGACAATATGTTGGTCTACTGTTCTTTTGTCATTACTTTTTGGTAATGTTTATATCATCGACAACTTCTTGACTTTCCATTAAAAGCGACAAAATGTCTACACATTCATTTAAAGACACAAGGGTGTCCTCTGTGGCGCCAATTTCTAACAGAAATTCATCAAGTTCCTCGTCACTTACGTCAAATTGCAATGCCTTGATAAGTTTAGAGAGATGAGCACACGAAATACAGTCGTTAGAGACTTCATAGTTTGAATTCTCGGCTGCTAGGAGTACAGCAAACTCATGCTGTATCACACGCAACATCTGATCATCAAATTTTACCCCATCCGAATCAAATTCCGAGAACAGTAAATTCTGAGGTGTATTGACCACGTCAGTCAAATTGTCACTTAGCTCGCATCCATAATTTTGTCGGATTGACGTTATACTATTATTTAACACTTGATCTGGACATACAAGCTCTAACTGTCCACAGTGACAAAGCAAATTATTTAATCGATGTGAACAGAAAATAATGCACATCTTACGTTTGGAAGTTGAAACGTGTTATAATTTTCCGTCTCATCGTCGCACTTTGTGTCGTCATAATATATGCCACACTTCGGAGCACCATTAATCCACTCACCTTCGTAAACTTTTCGAGTCGCCTTATAGAAATACCTTCCAGGACCTTCTTTCATGTCATTTAGCCACTGACCTTCATAGCGATCCCCATTTGCTATTTAAATGTAAGAGATTTCATTACACCTACAATTTATCAACACCAACTTGACGTACCCAAATAGTGTGTTCCTCGTCCAGATCGCTCATTATTCTTCCACTCCCCATCGTAAACTGATTGATCTTCACCGTAAACCATACGACCACGACCATGACGTTTGTTCATCATTATATCACCCTCATACTTTCCGTCATTCTTATAAAAAAGGGTACCTCGACCATTTCGTTGGTCATGACTCCATTCACCAGAGTATTGTTTGCGTAATCTTTTCTTCTCGTTGATCCAATATATCCCATGTCCCTCCCGTCTGTTCATAACCCACTCACCTTCATACTTGTTCCCATTCGCGTACACTAATGCACCGTAACCATGTTTTTGACCATCTTTCCAGTCACCTGTGTATTTGCCTAACATTGTATACTCAACCTTATCAATAGAAGCAGCCATATTGGTGGCTTCCATTACATTCGTGTAACTTGACGGCGTAACCTCGCCTTCTTTTCGATGTACCCAGTACACGGAGTGTCTTGGACCATTTCGTGCTGCCAATCGTTCACGTAAACGGCTTGCAGACAATTTATCGTCTCGGCGGTCAGTATGAAGCTTTAACCCATGCTGAACTCGTGTACTCATGACACTAGAAATATACGCAACTGACCTGTACATTTACCCATTTACATCCCACGTAAAAATAAACAAGTCAATTTTGGCACATGACTACATTTAGCTCGTTGCTGCACTCTACGCTTTCAGTCAAAACTTGAAAATGTAGCAACTTTCAATAATCTTGCCATGATATGTCTGAGTCTACTTCCCATCCCGCGTCAATATGGCTCCATACAGATGAGGCCGACGATCACGCACTAATCCCCAGCTAGCTCGTCGTATATGGAACTTCTCGAGATCAAAACTCTCTACAAGAACACCTTCTGATTCACGGTCCGCAATTTTTAGCTGGTATATACAACATCAATGGAATTAGCTGTAAAATTGCACAATTTCTCAATGTTTTCGTCATACCAATTCACCCGTCTGGCCTGCGATAAAAGATGAGCCAACAAAAGTAACTTGAATGCCGTCTATGATCTCTGTACCCACGCGATTCGAACAGATAACGGGTACCATACTCGCTGCGGCATGACCCTGCATCACACGCTGCCATTGGTCCCGAGCGTCAAAGTTGGGATCATACCGATTACTACCCATTGCGCATGGGTACAATAGAAGCTCTGCGCCATGTATTACTAAACTTCGTGCTACTTCAGGATACCATTGATCAGAGCCGATAGCTACACCAATCTTGCCGTAACGCTGTCATAATATTACATATTCGTTCAAAGTTTGTTAACTTTAAAATGGTGAAGTTTCTATTCTCGCACCGTATTCCAGACTTTAAATTCATCGTCTGATGGTGTAAAGTAGTACTTTTCGTTATAGCCAAGTCGGTCTATCATATCAAACGTGAGTTATAATGTAGCCATCAACAACTTGACAACGTACCTCCAATATGCATTTTTCGTACGACACCGAGCACTGTACCATCCGCGTCAATTATTGCGCACGAATTGTAGTATGAATTTCGGTACCGCTCAAAGAAACTAATGGGAATGACCACGTGAAGCTCCTTCGCTAGCAATGCCATACCTTGTACCAAAGCTGATTCTTCTAATGTTGTTGCCAATTGAAAATTACTTGCACTGAGTTCGATAGAAAAGTACGAGAACTGGAATAATTCTTGCAGTAAAATAATTTGTGCTCCACGAGAGCTAGCGATGCGTACAAGTGATTCAGCCTTTTTAATGTTCTCTTCAGGATTACTACAACTCATTTGTGTTGCCGCGACTGTCGTCATCTGTACAATATAGAAGCATACAGTGATAGAATCAATTCCTTTCCAGTAATGAAGGTGCCAGATATATTGTACATGTACCCGCTCGACAGTAATGGAGGGTGGTCGTAACCCCGGAGCACTAATATTCGTGGACGTCGTGCTCATTGTAGCGCCTGTAGATGCGTTAATGCGAAATGATGTATGCATCTATTGGTAGAGTGCGACTGAACAACTGCAGCGCTAGTTTTCGCAGCTTACGTTCTGACGATTGTAGGTAAAAAAAAAGGATTCATTACTAAGCTTGATTATCTGCTTGCTTACATATGGTTTACCATATAGAAATAAAATGGACATTAATATAAAGACAGGATAGTAGAAAATTAAATTGTGTAGTTATTGATAAGATATAAATATTTTCATATATTTTCATACCGAACATTAAAAAATTGGTAAGATTCAAAAGTAGTAACGAAGAATCATAGTAATGAAAATTTTAGCAAATGACACCTAAATGCTTCGTGCGCGGGTACTTGACCTGCAATTGCGGCCATTGTACGACAAATTCATCTGCTACGTAATATAGCATCTTCCCTGTGAGTGATAAATGCTGTACACGCGCGAAACTCTCGCAAAAGATGATTTTGGAATCTGTATGAATGCCTAATACGCGGAACAACACCACTGCTATACATATAGGAATACAAGTGCCTAAAAGCAGTCAAGAGACGAGAATTAGACCCTTCAATCCGGTTCGAAGAGCAAATTATTAGCAATGTATGTACCTGGTCCATTACAAAGAACTAATTGTGGACGACGACTGTAAACCAGCCCCAGACAAGAAAAAAACGCGTGTAAAGTGCTTGGAACTGAAGAGAACCACGATTGTCCTACCTAATAAGCCACATAGTGAGTATTCCGTTCAATATAATGATCATAAATTCTACCTCTCGACTGCGCGGTATGAAGGCGAAAGAGTCACAGTCTTTAGGTTTCCAATCAAGTTCTGTCTTTGTCTGGCTCGTTTTATCAGTCTCTGCAATAACAAATGTAACTGGGGTGTAGATGTCTCGATGAAGTCTTTTCATAAGTTTAAGTAATTCAGTAGTATGACCACCAGAGCCCAATACAGCCATGACGCGAATTTGCTGTCGATTCTTGCCACGATCTGCATTCACTTGATGAAAATTCGACTTGAAATAGCTAGAACTTGATACTTTCATTCTTTTAGGGATTATCACATGCCAGATACGAAAGACAAGAAACAAAGTCACTAGAACCAGTACACCCTCGACGCGTAGTAAGAGTTCCATTTGGTTGTTATTTGTAAAATTACTATTTTATAACTAATATACGTAATTCTTTTCATTTTCAAGATAAAATCACTATGACCTCTTCCGTGCTTCAGACCTATGTAGTTTGTACGTCTGTACTCTATCTAAAGTTCCTAAGAGTGACGATGATTCAAGCCAAAAAGACATTTCAGGCAGGTAATCGTGCACCAGAAGATAAGGCTTTACCGTTGGCTCGAGGTTGTCCAAAACAAAGTTTTGGTATGGACCCGGAAAGTGAGAAGAATGAAAAGATTTCAAAAGCCCGCGAGATGGAACATCGTTGGCGTCGTATTGTTCAAAACGATCTAGAGTCAATTCCACTTGCTCTTGTGATGTTTGGCCTCGGTGTTACTATCGAAGATCGTATCAATTCGAGCGTGCAGATTGGAGCTATGATCATGTATACCGTGGTACGATGCTTCCATACGATCGCATACGCTTACAAGCTTCAGCCACACCGAGCATGGTGCTGGCGTATTGGTGTTGTGGCTATCATGGTTGGTGTTATCAACGCTGTCATTGGCGTCTATGCATAGGCGTCGAGAACAGTCGGTAGAGCTCAGAGATCGTGTGTGGAATTACCTCGCCGATTTGATTTCGAAGCATTAAGAGTTGACGCAGAGACACTGTAGCTATGGTTTAGTCTCTGTAGAAGCCGCATTAATGTTATAAATGAGAATCTTATCTTCTAAGTTGATCACCGAACAGTGAACAATGATAATTAGTTTACTAAAAACGCTTCCACTAACGTTACAGAGCTTATGGCGTGATCTTCATGAACATCTTGAAAGCATACATTCAAGAAACTGGAACTCCAGTCAATTGTATCATACCTTCCAGTCTCCAGATGAACATATTTTTCTTCAGGAAACTTTACTCATAGCTCTACACTTGCATTCTGACCTTTAATTCCACTCGACAGCAAGGTTTTGCTTTTGAATGGCAAAAATACAAGCCAATGGAAGATGATCTGACGGGCAGTGAGTATTAGGCAGCAATCCTAAGGCACAATCAGTCACATCTTGATGTCCGTCATCCGATTTGTGTTTGATGCGCTCAGTATCTTTAATTTCAATAGCTTCTTTAAGCTCTTCATATGTCAATAATTTCAAAACTTGATATGGCGTAAATTGTTGAGCTGAATAGAAAATGTAATCAATCGTTCCATGAAATTTGTCGCTTGAAAATGTAAATTCTGGCTCGTTTGAATTTATTGAATATTCTTCATATGCACTTTTCATCATTTCGTAATAAATGATCGAACTATTTTGATCTCGATCTCGACTTCTACGAATTTTGTGGTACACATCACTTGTAGGTATAGCATTGAAAGTCCCAGTTAAAATTACCGGTAATTGAAAGTCAGCATTAAACCCAGACAGCTGATGACACAGATACTCAGTCTGCAGCAGTCGTACATGTTCCAATTCGGGTGTAGCTCCTGCTGCAAGTTGCGTAGTAGCAATACATAGAGCAGATGGAAGAGTTGAAGTTTCCGATGGCTGTAAACACACTACTAAAGCAAGTTTGCCCTGCTTTGCTCGCGCTGCAACATTCTCATTAACGATGTTTGTACAGATTTCATTCAGATGAATTTCAGTCGATTTTAAGAGCTGAAAAAGTGACGTTTTAAACGCTATCACAAGCCCTTCATCAAGTTTCTTCATTACAAGAGTTGAGTCTGATGCAGCAGCCGTTGCATAGATACTGTCATAGCCAGCAATCGCAAGTTCTGTTACCCACCAGTCGTCATACTCGTCAACTTCCTATGTGAACAAACTTCACGCGTGGGTACGATCGAACATTCATCAATTGTTAGATTTTGTCACTACCTGTAGACAGATGAGATCAGTATCGTATGCAAGAATTTCGCTAACTCAAATAACAAGAAGTCAGTAAAAGGTAACACGACTATCAGTATAATAACAACAACCGTAAAAGTCTCTCTCGTCGCTTTTGAATGTTAAGAATTGCTGTCTTGACGTAATTTCTACCTTTACGTTGCAATCTTCGTGCACCCATTTGCGACAATATATTGTACGTAAGTACTGAAACCTTATCAAGAGCTTGAAGCTCCACCATGTTCACAACATCCTTTTCAACAGGCACAAAAGGTCGCAAGGAATGTGCCATACCTAAATGAAATTTAATGAAACAGCGCTGTTTGAAACGTTTGATGTTGTGTACATTAAACAAATTATCAAATTATCTCAAAAGCTCCGTCGTCCACTCAAGTGCCATGACAGACCACGACGTGGAACTTGAGCTCTTAACGCCACCACCTCAAGCTATACCAACGTCCAATCGCATTAGAATTGCCTCAATTAATCTCTTGTATTCATCTGATGGTCGATACATTTTCCAGCGTCAAGCCCATGTCGTTCGTGTACTGCATGCTCCAACAGGTCGCGTTCTGCATGAATGCGTACGTACAGACAAGAAGAATGTCGTTTGTGCGTTGGCATTGCACCCATACAATGCTTTGCAGCTTTTAGCTGCTTATGATGATGGAATGATTCTTGTTTGGGATTTTATCGAACATAAAGTATTGGTAGAATTAAACGCGAAGGATCCGATACGATGGATGGCGTCCAGTCGTACATGTCCATCGCAGCTACTTTTAGTCACTCAAAGCGATCCAACTACGTGGAATCTTGTCGAATTTAGTCTGAAAAAGAAAAAACGTGGTCGACTTTTGCTTCAGAATAACAAACAAAAGTTTCACGCTGCAGCATTGCAAAGTTACGTGACATCACAGGACAAGCAGACGGAGCCAGGCGACTTTGTCGTTCTGGCCGCCAATAAAAAGCTTGTAACACTATGGTTTACTCATCAACCAGGGACTCAAGACTCAAGCACTCGTGTTTATACAATTCAGAAACTAACACACTATTGTGCTGTCTCATGCGTTGCTATCAGTCCAACGAAACGGGAATTTTCAATTGGTGATCAGATTGGTCAAATTTTTCGGCATTTTACTCAAACGATTTCGAGAGAAGATGGAGCAAAGATGCATTGGCATTCACATGCTGTGCATTGTATTCAGTACTCAAGTGATGGTCAATTTCTATTGTCTGGCGGTGAAGAGTGTGTCTTAGTATCGTGGCACTTGGAAACAGGTCGTCGAGCGTATCTGCCACGTCTTCCGGCGGCAGTGGAAACAATTGCACCCCGTCCGGATGGCGGTGTCTATGCTGTTAGCCTGGCAGACAATGTTCTTTTCCAGTATAACCCAGTAACACGTGAACAAGAGTGGGAAGCACGAGGACTAGCACGCGCTGGAAATTCGGCTGCTAGCTCGATCCCAACACGCCAATTAGTAATTGATCCACTGACGAAATCACTTGTGCTTAATGGCTCGTCAGGTGCTGGCATACTGCAATTCTTTGAGCCATTTGCTGACCGTGTGCTACAAACACTACTGTTATCGGAACGTAATCAAGTTACACGTACGGAAGACGAAGTGCTACCTATTTTTCGTGCTTTGTATTCGTGTTTTAGCTCTAATGGCAAGGATTTGGTGACGCTTCATGCACCAACAACGGCACAGTATGGTGACGAAAGTGCGCTACGGTTCTGGACGCGTCGTGTTGACGGCACATTCTTCGTCAATACAGCAATTGATGCACCTCATGGCCGTGCACGAGTTACGAGTATGGCGTACACCCCGTCAAGTTTTTATGACTGTGTTGTTAGTGGAGACGAGAAAGGAGATTTTAAAGTGTGGAACAAGACTAAAATCGAAGCAGGCGGAACAGCATGGCACTGCCAAGCAGTTGTACGGTATCGGGATGAACCAATAACGGCATTAGCGTTTGCTCGTGATGGCTCATTGCTTGCAGTAGCGTATGGCAATAAACTTACTCTTTGGGATATCACAACACACGCCCTACGTCGTGTAATTCCATCTGCAGACGGAAATACCATTAAACAAATTGTCTTTCTTGGTACTAGTTCGCCTTACGTTGTGATTGTGACAACAAATCAAGTACAAGTATGGAATCTGCTCTCATTAACAATGTTGTGGCGCTACACGGTACCAAAAGGTACAGTTGTGGCCGAAGAAGTTATGTACGAACGCTTTCTTGTCTGGTTGCCAGTGGATAAAAAGACAGTCATCCTTGTTTTTGATGCCCAGACGTCTGTTCCAACGTGTATTCGTGTCGTAGATTTGGGTAGCAAAGTATGGAGTGCTGGTTTTCATCCTCCTACAATGGATATCATTCTGATCGACAACAAAATGGGTGTGTGGCGTCTGGATGGACCTAAAGCTAAATCGTTGAATGCTCGACTTCGAAAGCAAGCGCATATTGCAGCCGTCGCTGCACGTGATGCGACCAAGTACGGCGAACAGGATATCAAGATGTTGAGTGCTATCTACAAAGCTGCAAGTAACAACGTAGCTAAAAAGAAGATGCTTGACAGCGTAAAGGTAAACGGGTCTGCTTCCAGTCACTTATTTGACGCACCAGCTCACGTCCTACCATCGATGACGGCACTTTACCAATCTTTCATGGATACGATGCTACCAAAATCGCACCAGGCTGTTAACTCGAATGAAAGCCAGAAAAAGAAGAATAAGCGACGGAATAAAGAACAAGAGCATGCGACGATAGATGTTCAAGTTGGTGGAAATGAAGTACAACGCAAGCGGACGAAACTGCAGGTTGAGAAAGAGTTGGCGAATACAGAATTACGACAACAGACGTACTCAAAACTACTCGAAACGTTCCGAAAAACGAAAGCGCGTCGAGTGTAGCATGAAGTTAGAGCAACCAGTGTATTTGATTCTGCTATTTCCATAACATTTATCGAATCCAAACTGGACGCTATATAATGAGCTTTTTCTTACTTGAATCAATTGATTAAATCCTGACACTCAATCAAGTTCATAAACAAGTTGATTCTTAAAGCGCGCTGAGGCAAGAAGAGGTGCAAGTGATGATGTCGAGGCATCAGGTTGTACGGCAGAATGAGTTGTTTCAGCTTGTAAGATTGGACTCTTCTTGTAAAGAATAATCACCATGTTTTCACTAGCGACGTCAACTTCAGCACGAAAGGGATCAATATCAACTGAAAGCATTGGAATGAATAATTCGTACACGTGCTTAGTATTATCACTAAAGTACAGACGTAACGAGGTTGTTGATGGAAAGGTGAGCTGCACACTCATTGACTCAATACCAGCCACATTCACAATATAAGAAAAGCATGAAGACGTCTCCTGTATCTCAAACGGAGGCGTGAGCGTCTTTGTGGCTTCAACTTCGGCTGTAATTGATGTAGTTTCCACGTCGAAAGTGGCAGCCTTTGAATCACAATCGTTGTCGGAGTGAGAAATTGTTTCTTCATTGAGAACTGAGAAAGTCACAGACTCAGCATCTAGCGCTCGTTGCTTGAATGCAAGAACTTGTGGATCATGTTCTACCATCAAAGCTACTTCTCTAAGCATAGAAAACTCATCGTCGCTCTTTTTTTGCTTGAAAACGTGCACAGTAGGCTTCTCTACTACTGCGAGCTCAGTAGATTCGTCTTCGTCTTCCTCATTTTTATCGTCTTGAACGATCAACGAGATTGGTTGAGGTTCTGGCTTCATTGGAGGCTGCACGGGTAACGTCACGATCAATTTATGAGTTTTGCGATTAAATTTCGCATCTCCTTTCGATTCAATCACAGGATACGGCAGTGTTACCTCTAATGGTTCATAGTCTCCAGGAACATCAGGACCTGGTAAAAGCCGAAGCTTTTGATCACTAACATCCAAATCTAAACCTTTTGCACTTGTAGCAAGAGGAAATGATAGCTCAATCACAAGTTCTTTTGGACGATGTCGATCTGTTGGAACTTTCTTGTCAACATCTGCTTGCATGTGGTGAAAAAGCTCAAAACGACCACGATAAATCATTTGATACTCTATCTTCTTTCCTTTTGCTACTGTCGTTTTATCACTTGATGTACACGAATTTTCATTTCGTATCAAACTTTTTTCTTGCAAGTTCATTTCATTGTCATTTCCATCCTCTCGTTTAGTCTTCTCGTCATCCTTACAATGCTTTACTTGTTTCATTTCGTCTTTCTTCTGGTTGGAATCTTTCAACTCGTTTTTCAGACACATTGTCACTGGATTCCCTGATTTGTAACATACTCCTTTTAAAACCACATACTTCCTTTCCAATCCTCCATTCTTCTTGCGTCGCGTATCTTGTAATATCGCTTCAACACCATCCAAACACGTTTTCACGACCATATCTCGATAATTTCGTTGAGTTTTTGTAAATTCTAAAACCCGAGGATGAAAACAGACATCAAACGTTGATACTTTCCGACCCCCTTGATCTTCTTCAAATCTCTCCGGTCCAACTGAATATGGTAATTGCCAAGACGTACCTTGTTGTCCTACCGTCACTTTAGTACTCGATGGTGGTTCCATCTTATCACTACTACATACATTGATAAAGATCTTTTCTGTGACTTCCCACTTGGTCTTGACAACAAAACCTGGTAAAGGTTTCACCAATATTTTATCCTGTGGAATCTTTTCTTCACTCTCAAGCTGTGACAAATATCTCTCCGTTTCCTCACGATTGTTTGGATCCGAAATCTCATGCATGTAATCATTTAATAGCGATCGAAACGCTGGATCTTTCATTGCTGAGAAAAAAGTCGTCTGTTCTTCACGCGTTACTTTAGGCTTTCCATCCAACTGCTGCTTTTTCATAGAAGCTTCAAAGAGCATTTTCATCTCATTTTCACTTGGAATAGTCTCATCCTTATTGACTGTATGAGCTCTCGCGTCTTGAACGTTTGCAACCATGTTGTGACTCTCGAAAACTTGATATCTGTTGTGTGCAATCCATCAAAGTACTCAAAATAGAAACCATGTTTAATTTCAATAATTTTAAAACATGGTAGGGACGCACGAGGAGCTCGGTACGGTTGTGTGATCTTGTATTCAGCTGTGTTGTGATTCTTATAAAATATTGGTTTAAAGACAAGCAGTTTGTACGAGCAATGACGATTGATGAGAGTGAAGATGAACAGCAGAAAGATGAGAAAAATCAAGAATACGAGAATGCTTTAGATAACATTGATGGATTTAGAAATGAGAATCAAAGACATAGACGACTGAGTCGCTCTGTGTCTTCATTATCTTCTCGTTCAACTGCATCGTTTGAAAACGACAATTTTTTACCGTATTTAGAATCTGCTGCGATTCAATCTAAGAAATATATGGCACGAAATCAAGTAAAGTTCGTTTCTGAACAAGAAGAACGGATGCGTCGATTGAAGAAGAATCGTGTTCGTCGTCAAAATTTAGAAAAATGGACACAAAAGACAGCACGATCTCCTTTTCATGTAAATCTTGTAGCTGATAATGAACGACTGGATGAAGAACATCGTGTTAATATGATAGAGCGTGCTCGTCGAGCTCGAGAGCTTGAGCGACGAGCTAAAGAAGCTAAGAGTGAAGTGATTTTAAAAGCTTTGACGGAAACGTCAGATCTTGATCTCTTACGTCGTGAGAAGCGTGCAATTATTGATGAAGAAAAGCGTCTGAAAGCTTTATTGGACCTTGAAAAGACAAATTCTCATCGCAAGCTTGACCTTTTAGTAGCTCGAAGGGCAGAAAAACATCGACGTCAAGAAAAAGAAGACTATCGTCGACGTCAACGTCAACAGGCACTGAAAAAAAGAGAAGAACAATATAAACAATTATTGAGAGAAAAACTTGCTCTAGATAATTAATATCTTGGCACTCTAATTTATTAAAGAATCTCCATGTTTTTTATCATTCTTGAACAATATTGCGCTTGACAACGTAGATCTGCTTTGTATCTAGTGTCACAACGAAGTCGTACGTTGGAAACGCGACTAGTATCACATCTTGACGTTAGAAATCATTCTTTACTCTATCAAGAAAGTCAAAAAAAAGCTTTTCGTACTGGTCATACGCTGTAGCTCCTCCTTTTGATTCGTATCGAGTATACTATTTGAATCCTGTAACATTGAGTAGATTGTCTCGGCTGCAATCTCGCCAGAAGTTCCACACAATTCACCTGTAGCGGATGAAACTAGACCCTTTCTATCCATCACAAGAGTTCCCGTTTGGCCACTCACTATTGTTAAAGCGTCGGCGTCCTGTGAAACATAGCATTTCAAATAAAAAAATTGCTGAAAATTACAACTGACATCGTGGAGAAGACGTTAGGCATCACTTGGTAGAAAAGTAATGTCTCGTCACAAAGAGAGAGCTGCGAGTATCGGCTACTTAGTACCATTATAATAGCGAGCTTTTGAACTTCCTTGAGATATTGAGATGTGGGCCACATAAGAGAGTCCATAATAATAATAAATAAATATTACTATTTTACACTTAGAAATTATCAAAGTAGAAATGAAGAAGTTGAAAGGGTGCTTGGTGGTTCCAGAGGATGAGAAACCATTGCTACACCAGAATTTGTACGGTAAAAGCTCAATCTTAGAATCTAATCACCGTGGGAAGTGTCTAGCCTCGGCTCGAGTGATGCGAGACAATTTGATGCATCAGATTGAGACGATTGTGCTCCAAGAAGCCGAATTAGAAACAGCACTCGAAATCTTAGAATTTACTAGACAGAAATGTAATCATCAACACGATGCAATTGTTCAACGACTTGCAAGTTGTGAAGAGATGCTGTGGATGCTTGAACGAAATGCAACAGACAAACTTAGTACTACAAAATTGCTAAATGAAGAAGAGTTTAGAAGGTGGAACAAAAGCAAAGATATGATCACTGTCGTTTTACCTGAAGTTCTCGTTCGACTAGAAGACAATATTGAGCTCAATAATTCAAAAATTCGTGATGTTCGAAATCAAATGGAACACTTTCGTGCCAAACGGTTGGACCTACATGAAGAAATCGTTGCAAAAGAGGAAGACATTGCATTGATGCTGACTGATTTAGAGACTGAGTAAAATCTCTTAAGAAAAGATTAGACACTCAAGCAACTCTAAAATTTTAGTTGAAAAGATGATGTTTATCTCGCTTGCGTTTTCGTATTTTCTTTTTCGCAACGTCAATATTGCGGTCCTGCCATTTGCTTTTGCTAAGTTTCACAGGTCGATTGCCAATATATTTGCCATTCATTTCCCGCAATGCCTTAGCGCAATCAAATGGGTCTGTAAAACTCACAAAACCATATCCACGAGACTTGTGGGTCAACTTATCTCGTACCACACGTGCCCGTTGAAAAGACGGATACTTAGAAAAACTATGAGCCAATAATTCATCGCTCACTTCATTGCCAAGATCTCCACAAAAGAGTCGAAAATCATTCTCGGGCCATTCTTCCAGTGTTGGATCTTCCCAAATTTGACCACCTGCAAGTCTCAAGTGTCGTTTTTGATGCTTTCCTCGACCTCCATTCGACCTATTTCCATTCGAATTGGCCGCAAGACTTGCTGCTGTTCTCTTGGGATCATACGCATAAACACTCTGCTGTCTATTCATCATATGTTGTTCTTCTATCGATAACAAACATCCTGTCTCCATATCCACACGCGGCTGCATTGAATTATAACTGCCAGACATTAAGTTAGTCGATGCAATCGCGGCGTGCTCCCCTGATGTACCGGCAGGAAATCCGCTAAGAGCTCCACGATGAGCTGCTACGTCTTCTAAGGTATTCAAAAGTCCACTTCTTCCATCAATATGCTCGATGCTATCGTCAACTGAAGTCTCCGTCTTTTTAAATGGAGCGGGACGTGGTGGAGCCATATAGACCTTGGGCTTGACAACAACTTCCTTTGACGGTGCTGTCAAACCCAATTTGATCTTCTTAGCTGGTAAATCATTGGCGTCTTCTATTGAAGTCGTTTCATTCGGTGTTTGCTGCTCGAGCGACTGAATTTCAGCTTCGAAACGTGCAAACTCGTCGTCTAGATTCACCATGTCAATAGTTCATTTAGCGAAAGTCCAAATACTTTAAATGTAGAAGTCGAAAAATATCATTTCAGAATTTTGACATATTGTTCAAAAGTGGACGATTTTCATGGTCAAATCAACGATACGAATGCTTGTTTATTGTACGAGACATAGATCTGATCAAACTGTCTACACAAACAATCCTTATTAGGCTGTGATTTCCATGTATCATCATGACTACCTATGGCGAAGATGGTGTGCCGATCCTTAAGCTTGTATAATCCAAGCGCCATGCTAGCGGCTCATCATGTTGGGGGCACAAACATTTTCATCAGGAGCCCTGAGCTCAGCTCCACGTCATATATATGATGTAATATGTTATAGGAGCTTGCATTACATATGTGGTCCTTTAAAACATAATTGTAATCAAAAAGCATGGTCTGCGGGCTTCTACCGCGAAGATAAAGGCCATTTTGTAATGCAAGACGGATCAAATGGGCGAACGTTGGTCAATAAGAACCGATTCATGGTTAAAACTCGGTGTACTACAGCACAAGTTTATGAGTGTTTTAAGTTATGACGATAGAGCAAGAATGAGAGCCCCATCACAAATGATACCACCGGGTAGGGACGTGTCATATGAGATGATACTGCTTCCAGAGAATGAATTTGAATGCCACATCAATGGGATATTAAGGGAACAGTAGATGCTTTCTTTAAAAGCACGAGTTGAGTCTGGTGCGAGACAGCGACTCGGCGTCGACTCTTATTTGCCCGAGTGGCTGATGAATTGATACATGTTTAACGATTAGCTGGATGCACTTACATGGCTCGCGCATGCAATAACTTCTGAAAATGAGTTCCGCAGAATGGCATGATTGGCAGCGCTTTGCTCCATGCTCTTGATCTAACTGATAGATATCATCAAGTGTTCACGAGAGCAGTGATAATTATCTCATTACATGGGTAAGTTGCTCTTGAAAATGCTAGTCAAATTCCAGGGGCTGTCGATGACATCAGTGACATGCATTTATCTGATGATCCAGCTCATAGGCCGTATCACGCATATGCCCGAATCTATTTCGAGAATAAATGTCAAAATCGCGCAGAGTGCGAGTAATCAAATGCAGAGTGTCGGGTGCGGTTTTTGAGATTGAACACTCTGGGGTATTGCTCAAGTATATGCACTTGAATCTAGTATTTCCAGCGCATAAGAGTGCGCCTTTGTCGCCGACAAAATCGTTTTTTTAATGCTTCGTTGGGAAGCATGGTCTGTGGGTAGCTGTAAACGCCACTTTGAAACGCAAGCCGTATCCAAAGGTCAAAGTTTCTCGAAACGGATCAGTTTGAGTCGAGACGTTGGTATTAATTAAAAAACGGAAACGATTGAAAGGGTTTATGTTTCTTGTTCGGTAGTATAGCAAGACTATAAGGTCCACCAAGGGCGATACAGACTGATTAAGGTGTGCGGCATTAGATTTCCCTTGCACTTGAAAGTAAATATTAAATGTCAATGGCACATACTTAGAAAACATTGCGATATAAATAAAAAAAATCCGTGAAATTACAGAGTCGCTCCCATGAGAGTTGTGCCCCCTCAGTGCAGCTTTCTGCGTAAAAAACTAACAGCTAGTGGCTTGTTGTATGCTTAATGCACAGCCACCAAACCGACGCAGACATCAATCCCTTGAAACGACGAGCTACAGAATAGCATTGTTTGATGTACCGCGTTTCGTAGTTGATAAAAATCAACGACCCATGAGAGTCTGTGATAATTTTTGCGTTAGGTACTGTGCAGGTGGCTAGTTACGCCAGGGCATCAGCAGTGTAAAACTGCTGGTGACCTAGCGGCTTGAATCGCATCGTGCAAAAGCCTATCCCTAACTAGAGAAACATTTTTCTAACGTTGCGCGTAGCACAGAGAGTCGGATGTAGACTTCCATTTCAAACATATGAGAGCTCTCGTAAACTTGATCGTGAAGCATGGTCAGCAAAGAGAATTTGCGCAATTAACATCTGATTTTAGATGATTTAGTGGAGCTATCCCAAAGTCATTCTAGGAAATGGCGCTGTCTGATCAAGTACTGAGGAAACCCAGGTACAAAGTTATACGAGGACCACGACACCCGTTTGGTGGTCGCCTTAGTGAAGAAAGGATACAAAGCTTGAGCGCTATGTATTGGTGGCCCAAGATATAGAAATGGGCTCGCATAAATTTGCGCTTATGCAAAATGTGTCAAATATATAGACGCTCGCCGCATGTGTCGAAGCCTTTGGTCTGTCTGCCGTATTCAAAACCTCAACTAAGGCAAAAACACGTGAAGTGGTGGCAAAGCCGATGCCGCATTTTTCCCTTTTCGTTTAAAGTTGAAGGTATATTTAATTATTTTATTTGCGACAGAGCCGCATGTATCTGAAACATCAGATTTTCCTAATTGAATAGTAAAGCCTAAGTAGTTAACTTGCATAACTACTGGTAGCTCTGTCTTGTAATGTGATCCAACCTATGTACAGTCACACCATCTTGTGTGACCCACCCTAATATACAAGGGTACGTGTAGCCCCGTTACAGTTATAGAGACTTATCTTGATGAACAACGTAACCTATTCTTTCTATTAGCACAATATTCGGCAAGTGTATGCCAGGAATTGTGCAAATTTTTTGGACAATAAGCTAAAGTTTTCTCTGCCTCACTATAAAAGTACTCCTGAGTGCTAAAATTGAAATTTGTCAAGACAGTTTTGCTCAATATTTAAATTAATTTTAATAATTTTGAGAGTGACATCTAAGCCATGTACGCAGGCGTGGACAAGTACAGCGGCGCTCTAGTCGGTGAGGGCCAATCAAGCGGCAGTTCATCGCATGCTCCAAGTGCTTCTGGCTTGTCACTTGAAGATGCCATTGAGACTGCAGCCGCGGAAGAGACTGTGGTAGTAGACGTTCCTTATTCGTATTTAGCAGACGATAATGATCCAAAATCCATCGTCTCGGGTGTATCGACTGTGCTCTTGTCTGCGCAATTAAACCCTGAAGCTGGCGGTTTAATGTGGGTGGAAAACTCAAGCTCGAAACAAGCTTATAAGAACGTCGTAGCGATGTCTCAAATGACGTCAATGCTACGAGATAAAGATCGCAATGACTGCTACGAGCGTGGGATCAAACGTGCAATTGCGAAGTTTAAAGCCACTCGAAATCGTGACCCTTTGGTTCTTGATATTGGCACTGGTACAGGATTGTTATCCATGTTTGCAGCTCGACATGGAGCTGAGCATGTTTACGCATGTGAAATGTTTAAACCAATGGCTGAAATTGCCCACCAAGTGGCGCAAGCGAATTATCCTGATAAGATCACAGTATTTCCCTTACGATCTACCGACTTGAAGGTTTTGCCGGAGAATGATCATGACAGAGACCCAAAGATCATGTATCACCTCCCACGTCGGGCTGATTTGCTTGTATCCGAACTTTTTGATTCTATACTACTAGGTGAAGCGGTAGTACCAACAATTCGTCATGCAATGGAGCATTTATTGACTTCCGATGCGATGATTGTACCGGAACGAGCTACCGTCTTTGCTCAGATAATAGAGTGTGATCCAATTTATCATTTTACAAGTTTTCAGATGAAAAGTAGTGGCCCTAAATTGGCACGAAGTGATACAGCATGGCAGTGTCAAGGAGGCAAGCCAGCAATACCCGTGCATTTTCGCGCGTTTGAGAAACATTCTCGACAATTGTCGAATCCGACAACAGTCTTAAAATTTGACTTTACGAAATTGACAACAGAGGTCGCAGGTTTTAACGAAACAGTTGTCAATGTCGTGAATACTGGAACAATCGACGCTGTACTCATGTGGTGGCAAGTGAGTTTTGATGAAGACAATCACATCGTATACTCGACAGAAATGGGAGCACAGAATTGGCAAGACCATTGGGTTCAAGTCGTTTTTCCACTCGTGGGAAAAGTGCAAGCTTGCCCTAGTGAAAAGATCGTATTACGTGCTCATTATGATGATATTCGCATTTGGTTTGATGTCGAACCTCTCAACTATCAACAGAAAGTGATAAGTAATGATAAACCTCCGTGTACGTGTGGAATGCACTTAATCTGCAATGCAGAGCGAATTTCGATGCTGACGGATATTACTCGTCGTGAAGCGTTTGATGCGTCTGTAGCTTTGGTCGTGAAGGAACTTATGAAAGCGGATAGTCTGCGCTCAATTTCGTGCTTAGATATTAGTGATGGATCTTTGGGTGCGCTACTCGCCGCTTCGCTTCCAGAGGTTAGTAGTGTATCCTCGATCGAATCCAAGGAAGTATCAGCTCGAATTTTCAATCAAATTTTAGCTTACAACAATGCAAACGTTGAGGTTCTCAACAGTGGTGTCAAAGGATTGTTGTCTGAGCACTTGCAAGGTAAAACATCGAGTGTGGATTTGCTGATTGGAGAGCCCTTCTACTATTCAATGCAAAATCTCCCACTTTGGCAAGCATTTAACTTTTGGTTACGACGAACAGCCGTTGATGGTTTACTTTCTCAACAAGCCCATGTCTTGCCGGCTCGAGCCCGAATATTGGCTCAGGTTGTACAATTTCGGCAATTGCATCAGTGTTTTGGCGCCGTGGGGAACGTTTCTGGCTTTGATCACACCTGCTTTGACCAATTTCAGGACGAATACTACTCGCACAACTTTCCGTTTCCAGTTTATATGTACCCGTATAATCACGTTTCTGAAGTATCAGAGTTGGCATCTTTGGACTTTATGGAAATGGCACACACAGTTGCTACAAGTGGCAGTATTGAAGTTCTGAACTTGGCTGCGAATGCTGTGATCGTTTGGGTCGAATATCATTTGGATATTACTAGCAAGTATGTGGTAACGACAGGTCCAGCTGTACGCTATGCGAAGCAGCTTGTTCGTTTTCTCCCGTCTGATCCGGATGTAACATCCGGCAACGAATTGAAATCTAAAGTGAATTTCAGCTTTCACTTTGATGCATTGGAAGGCACGATCGATTTAAATTTTGAGTTAGAAAAATAGGATTTAAAGAATAGTATTTACCCATTCTATTGCTACAATATACTTAGCACAATCACTACCGACTCTCGTACCAAACAAGGCTCTACTGACAGAGAGTACGGAATGAAACATATTCTTGCTGTTATTTTATTGACCATTACTCTATATAAAAGTGGTTGTACATATCATTTCGAAGCACTGGGCAAGTCCGCCACATGAAAGCCGAATTTTCTTATCCCTTTCCTCAAAGGCATATCTGTCACATAAAAAGATTAGCACCATGCTATTCTCTGATATGGTTTCGACGTTCCTGTGCGCAGCGATGTATGATCTTTATCATCAACGGATCGCTCAGAGTCGAACATGGTGTATTTTGAACTTGACAAGAGCATCCGCTATAGCAGTAAGTTCCTCGTCGTGAATTGAAAGATAGTCTCAGCCGCTTTTAGAATAAAAAGGCTCAAATCAATGACGCGTTCCTCACCAATTATATCAGCTTAAAATTAAGTACAGCCTACGGCAAAGGCCACAATTAGCACGCGATGGCCGATTCGAATTCGGAAGTGCTAATATACAATCTCTACCTGAATGACGCAAGTTAGGGTGATCGCCTGCCGATCAAAGCCAGGTTGAAGGTGAGAAGTAAAAAGCGGCGCCAGCGTATGCACCTGTCGAGATGAAAAATCCAAGGGCCAAACGGGCGGCATAATGGTATGGTGAAATTTCGGTGATCGTGTTGTGTTCACGTAGGATCAAACATTGTCAGGCACATCTTAATTTATCACAGCAGTGTGCATATTTTATTCTCCCGTTTCCTTTCCGGACGGATCATGAGCCCAACGGCTCCGACTGTCTTCGAGAGATTCTGAATTAATGCCGCATGACGGCCAGCAGCAGTTATGATGAAGTCAAGAAAGAGCCAACATGTATACGCAACTGAAGGTAATTCAGCTGTTAAGCAGTTTAGTAGAGCGGATGGATTGCCCGGAAGCATTATTGGGTCGACCGGCGAGCCCGAAATCGAGTCTGTCTAAGTCAACTCTGGGTAATCGAAAGGCGCTGATGAGGTAATCGCCAGAAGATTAGCCGCTAAAGAGACTTAAAGAATTTGCGGACATATATTTCGGGAGGAATTAGCCAAATCTCGAATTAAGGTTTGCAGCTTGGAGCCTGGTGGTGGAAAATCTCAACGTGGTGGGGTTGTCAATCGGACCTGGAAGCGATCGGTAGGATGACACTATGAAATCATCAATCAAGAGAGTTGGTGTTTCTGGACCGATGGTAGTAACGATTGAGAATTTGTTGGGAAATTAGATTTGTTTTGCTAATAGCACACGATATGATATCAGCTTTGCGGTTCACGATGCAGCTTGAAGACTCACCAGAAAATGTCCGAGAATATCGTAGATGAAATTAAGATACTTGAATGAACAGGCGTGAAGTATGTGAACGATGACAAGAATGCAGGATGCAGCTAAAGCTAAACAAACTCTGCCCGTCGAGTCGGATGACCGCTCATTAGTATCGGGGGATTCAAATCGATGCATAATCTCGTTGTACAAAGGATATGCAGGAAGAACACTGAAGTCTTAAAGTAGCTAAATTCACATTATTAAATGCGAGTTGGTAGTACTCGTAGTCAATCTACGCCTGAGACGTTAAGAGTGATCCTCTGTGAAGATGGAGTAATACTCCTATTTGCCCCAGGGCATGCAGGGCGTGCTTGATAAGCTAATGTCCCTGCTGGGTCTTGAGGGTGTGGAGCACCTTGTTTCGCAAGGCCTCAAGGCGATTCGCGCGCGCCTAGTTGCATTTTTGAGCTATGAAACTGCTCTGCTAGAGCATCTACAGCAGAAACTGTCCATGACGCCACCGTCGACGATGAATGCCTCCTACCAGCCCAAGCCGCTCATGGTCAGCGTTAAAACCTTCTAATTATGAAGAAAATCTGTTGCTCTGGGTAATAGGGGCTGAGATGACTATGGCATCCGCCATGCTCTAGAACGACCAACAGCGCGGGTGCTAGCTATCTCCAAGCACGGGGGTCGAGCGCGAGAATGGACACTAACGTGCGGTGCTTCGGTTGAAGCTTCTTTACCCTCCGAAAAGGTAACGAAGCGTCAGCTTTTCGAGTGTTCTCGCCGCCTTATCAGGCATACCCGCGTGAGATCGTGCTTCCTTGCTGCCCGACCGGGCAAGAAGGAGTTGGTGGACTTTGTCCAAGTGTTGAATACTCTTATTGCCGGGATGGCAGCAGATCCTCTCCCCGGAGGGTCGCAGGAACCGTTTTTATGGAGGTCCTCCGCTCTGGCCCGACCAGAACGGGAGTCTTCCGTATGCGTCCGTCTTCTTTTGAAGAAGTAGTGAATGTGGCATTGAATGCCATATTCCACCATAAGTCGGCACAACTTTGGTTGGAATGCACATCCTCTCAGCTTGTTGAGCAGGCCTGAATAAATGGTTTTCGGCTATGCAGAGGAATAGAAAGGAGGGCTCTAAGCTGCCTAGCAGCGTTTAATCGCCCTACGGTGTTTTGTCGGTGAAGACACTCGTCACTTTTGGGATATTTGTCCACTGGGCAAGGCGCGTAAAGCCAACGTCTCGCTTCTAACAGTCTGGTTTGTCGCGGGGAAACAAAAAAATCTTACTAAAGCAGAACCAAGTCCTGTTGAGCCTCAAAGAGGAAGAGGGTAGCAGGTATCAGCCCCGAAGAGCTCTGTGCTCTTGAACACGGAACGTGTAACCAAGCCGGGCTTGTTGGTCGTAAAAACGACTGTGAACGGTTATGAGAAGCCATAGAAGATCCTTATCGCTTTCGGGGCGTCGGACAATTATGCTCGACGCTCCACGATCGAAAAAAGTGATCTGTATGCTGGGCGCTGGAAGCGCGGTTGAGTGACACCGGCACTGTTCGCTCAGCGACGGGGACTTGTGTTACTGTGCGAGGCTTCCTATGGATCTCGGTGTCAAGTTTCGTTTCTTGACTTTGATAGCGTGGAACGGTGCTTAGGCTTAGACTTGGACGCAAGGTATGACCTTATCCTTTGTATGCATGGTTGGAACACCATGAGCCTTGTATTGATTCGAGGTCGAAGACTTTAGGCGAGAGATCCGTGCACGTCTTCTGGTGGACATGAACCCACTTCTGCTTGAGAGCAGAAGCGCTATTGGCGCGGGCACTGGGCCGGGACGATCAATGGAGTATCCGAGTTGTCGAACACCAAAGTATTTTAGACAGGAGTCCCAATCGTGGCTCACGAGCTAAACATGGAGTAGCACGTAGCTCGCTGAGCACTGCTCAAGTAACAAAGCAGTTGCTGCATACCAAGAGCGGCATGGTCGGCCCTGGGCCAAAACATCGAAGGCGAAGCACGTGGAGAGGCACAACCCAATGAGCACTGCTCACATTACGAACAGTTGCTGCATGCTAAGAGTGGCAAGGTCGGACGAGGTCCGAGGCATCAAGGGCAAGGCCCTAGTGATGCGTATGGAGTGGCACGTTATCCACTGAACGAAGACTGTGGAAATTAGCAGTTCTTTGTCGAATGTTGTTAATAACATCATGGCTCCGATAGAGCAAGGAGTGGGGACACTGGACGATGCCAAGTGCATTTTCCTCTGGTCTCGATGAGACGTAGAACCGTTATAGAGAGAAGACGGCGAAGCCGTATGACATCTGCAAGACCCAGGGCGTCAACCCTCATCCAGAGTGCGTCTACCGTGGACTTAACACACAGCTATATACCCTTGTCAATGGTATGATGGGAGAGGAAGACGGCAACGTCACCCTCGAGGCTTTTTCCGTTGTAGATGCTCTTCTTGAGCTGGACGAGACGTCCTTCCAATAGTTTGACGGTGCCTTAAAGGCAGGCAATTTAGCCGAGGTGAACATTATACGACCATACGAGGAGATCAACTTGTCGTCGCTTTGGGATGAAGTTGGCACTAAGAGGGTGCTGAACGCACGAAGTGGACCATCGATCATAAAAGATCACTCGGATCCGTACTATCATTTGGTAAAGGAATTTCAAGACGTCGTCTCCAACTACGCGCCTTCAGTCCTATCTCCGAACCGAGGTGTTCCGGGAGCCAAATACTGCGTAACACGCCGATGACTTCTGCCCCTAAAGCAGTGTGACATCATTGCCGCCTTTATTCGTGTGAATCACGAGGTAGAAATGGTGCGTCAAAGCATGTCCCCCATTCGACACTCACGTTTTGTGTCCGGAAGTCGAACGGCAAGTGGCGTGTCGTTCAAGCTAACAATAAGCTATACGCCGCCACCATTGCGGCACTCCTAGTAAGAATTTTTCCAGAACGATACAGTTGGCTGTACAAAGTACAGAGCACTCGACTTGGTCGATAGTTATTACTAATTACTCACGAGAGCGAGAGATATTCTGTTGACAGCGGTGAGTATCCGAGCGGGATGCTCTGGGAGTGGCTGGTGATGCCCCAAGGGCTGCCACCAGCATCATTTAAGCGTCTGATGATGCAATTGTTCAGGTCCCATCGGGCTTATGCACAAACATACTATGACGACATCTTCTTCCACAGTCGTCCATCTTCGGCGCGGAAGAAACTCCTTTTTTAGGGTGCTTAAATGGAAAGCGTGGTCTTTGATCGGATCCCACTAAGGTCAAGGCCATTGTGGACTGGCCGATTTCAAAGAGCAAAAAGGACTTGCGCAAGTGGCTTTGCCTCGCCAGCTACTTGCACAAGCAAACGCAAATTATGCGGAGATGGCACGGCAATTATCGAATCTCCTTAAAATGTTGCGGAATGACCGAGGATCGGGAGGCTTTTGACAACGACAGCATCCTTCATGCACAAATACTAGCGTTGTCATACCCCGATCGTCCTTTAGTGTCGTCTGTGGCGCTTCGGGCTTTGACATCGGCTGTGCACAGCTGTCAGCAGACACAAAGGGGCGAGCTCGGGTGATCGCGTTGGAATCCCGCCAGTTTAAGGTTCTGGAGAGGAACTACCCAGTTTGCGACAAGGAATTACTTGCGATGAGGTATGGTTTGTCAAGTTCAGGATGCATCTGCATGGCTCCAAGCCGTTTGTGATCTTCACATATCATGCGTCATTACGCACTGCGACTCAGTCGCTTCACCACTACTTTACTAGCGTCATCTCAAACAATCGCAGAGGATAGCCGGGTGGCTCTAATTAGAATATAACTTCGAAGTGAAGTATATGCCAGGAAAGCAGAATGCTTTGGCTGATGCATTGTCAAGTAGACCGGATTATAAGCTTGCTCATGTCACGGCGATGACGTCGACAGTGACGGGGTCGATCCGCGCTGAATACGCTGGAGATTGTAGTGTGTAGCGCTGCTACAGAAACTTGGAGACTAGGACAAGAAATAGTCGGCGCGTTTGCGCGCACGGTTACGCCGATATTCGTTCAATATCGGGTTGCTGTATTATAGCACCAATTCAACGGATATGCCACAATTGTAACTCCTCACGATGAGTATTTGAAATACCGTATCATCTATGAGACATAGGACACTCCACTCGGTGGTCATGTCGGTCGTGTGAAGACGTACAGCTCGGTGAGTTGCCACTACTGGCGGCCCAAGCTGTACAAATGGACGAGTACATATGTGCGCACGTGTGAGACGTGACAGAGGGTGAAACCCTCTCCGAATGCGGCGACGCAGCTGGCCAGTCTACCAGCACCCTCCGGTGTTGACAGTGCATTAGTATGGAATTTGTGGTCGGCCTGCCGAAAGACTCGGAGGGCAACACCGTTGTGGTGGTCTTTTTGGACCGTTTGAGCAAGATTGCTCATCGTGCGGCAGTTCCGGACACCATCGACGGTGTGGTACAGCGGCGCTGTATGTCGATCGTGTCTTTCAATATCATGAACTCCCGAAGTCAATTGTCTCTGATAGGACCCCGCGCTTCACTGGGAAGTAGGGTGCTGGGCACAAAGTTGACAATGACAACAGCGACCATCCGCAGACCGATGGTAAAACTGAGCGCGTGAATTGCGTCGCTGAAGTCGTTCATCGCAGCATCTGTGCTAAGACGCCGAAGCACTGGAGCACCATGCTACCACTCGTAGTGTTTGCTCTGAAAATGCAGTGCATTCATCTAGTGGCTACACGCCGTTCTTCGTGAACAGGCTTCTTAATCCTCGCGTCCCGCTGACGCCACCATCCCACGGCTCAGGGCTTGGTGGGAGGAATAGCCGAACGGCTAGCTGATGTCAGCCTCCTCAATGTTCGTAAAGAAGTCGATGACTTCCTGTTTACGAGACTGAGTGTCTTACGATACTTCGCATGCGATGGCTGAAAGCGAAGACATGCAGAAAGAAAACGAGATGGAGGAAATAGACGAAATGTGGAAAACTTTGAGGTCGGACACTTAAATTTATTAAATGCTAATAACCTCCCTACATACGCAGTCTCTGCTGTATGTAAAACAAAGCTCCGTCCACCATATATTGGACCGTGAAAGGTCGCCAAGCGAGGCCTTGCGTATACGCTGAATCTTTCGAGACGGATGCACACCCACCCGACGTTTTATGTGAGCTTGCTTAAACCGTACCGGGATTCGGCGCAAGTCGGCGCGGAAACGTTGGCGCCGGGGCGGCGCCCAAAGGCGCTCGGCCACCTAGAAATTAAAGTGCAACCGAATCTGAGCACGGAGTTCCAAAATATCCGTTTCCAGGGGCACAAGGCGCTCCACCGTCGTACAAAGTGGCGTAATCGTCTACTCAACGGCAAGGAGCCGCTCCGACAGGGCGCGATAATTCTCAACGTGAGGCAATCGTGCACAAAGTGCCCCAGGCTCTTGAGGTCTTCTCTAGGCGACCTTGGAGAGACGCTCGGTGAAGTGCCGATGACGACGAACTTTGTCCTTTAAAGCTCGAGGAGCATCCCGTGTTGCCGGGCGGCGATCGACCAAGCCGTCATCGTCTGTCGCCGACTCTTCCCCATGAGAATGGTGGCGTCCACTACCACGTGGCACGCCTTGGGTCAACCCAATATCTTGTATGGTAGCGGGGATACCCAAACTTTGGAAACTCGTGAGAGTTTGAAGTGCCACTTCGGCAAGACTGCCCAGACGTCGTGGACGCTTTTGATTAAAAAAATCATGAAGCTTCGCGTCATCGCGTCATCGCGCACCCCGCGCTTCTCGGTAGTAGCACGGGAAGCTTAAGACGATGGCTGAGCTCAAACTATGGCTCTGAGATGCTGTGGTTGTGGACTCAACCGTGTGTGAAACAACAGAGCTCGCAGGAGCGTTATGGATAATTTCACGTGTCGCAGGGCGACAATACGCAGGAAGTCGGCGTCGCGCCTTGAGTTTGGCAAACATAAATCGAAGATGGCGCTCTACCCGCACATTCATTCTCTTTTGGCTTTGCTGTAACGTAGACAATGAGGAAAGTTTCCGGTGCCGCTGCACCTATCGCTCAAAGAGTTTCTCATCATCTGCGGCGGTTTCGTCAGGGACGAGCACCACAGGAATGGTCTGCTTTGCGGATACAGGAGCGCTACCTTTCTGAGCTCCAAGTCGAGCGCGGTACCGATAAATTGGGGATTTTGGGGGTACCCGAAAGCGAGCTCGGAGAGCTTTCTGCTGATTAAGCTCAGCATGGGTAGCGGTCGGGGGCTACGTAGATGCCTAACGACCGCGTCTTTCGGCGGGATCCGCGGAATACGTAAGGGATAGTTTCGAACGTTGGTTCGAGCGCATGCGAGCCGCCCTGGGGTAGCCCCCAACTGCTGATCCTGTGCCTCGTCAAGGTGATTGGTAACAAGAGAACGGACGGAGTCCGCAAGGTTCGAGCTGGGATCACATCGCGCCGTTGGCATCCTCCTCGTTTTCTTATGCTGGGAAAGGATTATCAGACTCGTAGTCGACTTCCCCGAACTCCTCGACGTCGACCGGGCGAGCGCGGTGTGTTGCACTCGATTGCCGAGAATTGGGATGAGCTTCCTGTGAAGCTGCAGATGTTCTGTTCGGAGATGCACCTTGTGTAGAAGGAGACGAAAGGCTTTGCCCGCGGGCGCCCTCGGAACCAGCAAAACTGGGTATTTCTCGTGTCAAAGGCACAGGGCTTATTAAGCGGGGAATGCTCAAGGATTTTCTTAAGAATGTAACGGTGTCTCAAACACGCGAACCTACAGCTAAATGTAAATTGTGGATATCCACAAATTTGATGGGGAAGAGACTAACGGGGTGACACGTACCCTTGACTCAAAGGGCGGGTCACACATGTGGTGTGATCGTATATAGGTGTGGAATACACATGTTGGCGTAGTGTCACAATGGTGTGGCTACGCCATAACAAGAAGCCACTACGTGGCAGGGTTGACAGTACTAATGCATAATATTAAGGTTTTACTATATACATTAGGTATTACTGAGCTCACAATTTTAAAAATTCTTGCGTCTATTGTCGATAACAGCGCACTGTTTTATGGATTAATAGTCACAAATTTTATATATCAATTAACGAAAATCAGTCCTGATATATATATAATGACATTGTAGTGAGACCTCACCTAGCCCACTTCTACACTTGAGTGGAAGCCGTGTAATATACGATATGGACGAATTAGACTATGACGACGCGGGTCACCGCGACATAGAAGACGATGAGATCCCAGAGGAAGAGATGGAGGAGGAGCTTCCGACCGATGAATTGTTTGAGGGTGGTGACGATGGCGCTGACCAGGAAAACAAGGTGCAAGTGCTTGATGAGTCCCATAAACAACCTAACGCACATCGCATTACCACGCGTTACATGACCAAATACGAACGCGCCCGTGTATTGGGTACGCGTGCCCTGCAAATATCCATGAATGCACCAGTTATGGTGGACATTGAGGGTGAAACGGACCCGTTAAAGATTGCGATGAAGGAGCTACGCGAGCGTAAGATTCCTATTATTATTCGACGGTATTTGCCGGACAACTCATTTGAAGACTGGAGTATCGATGAGCTAATTATCGAGTAGATGGGAAATAGAAAAGCGAAATGCATACACAGCGAGATATTGCAATAATAGTAACTACAAGTTGCTGCCATGCTTGCTACACGTTCTGCCAAATGCCGTGACTCGTGGTCTTAATTCACGGTAGTTTGCGAATCGCACGCAGTCCCATAATAACCCGGAAAACATTCGCATTCACCCGACTCATAGTTGCATTTGCCTCGTCCTCCACAGTCACGTCCCTGACTCTGCCCAAAGGCAAGTAAAACATCGTCACCGCTCGGACATTCTTTGAGAGAACAGTCAGGTCCGCGATATCCTTGGTCACAGTAACATCCCATATGCTTATTAGCATCCCACGCAGTGTATGCTGCCAAAACATTAGGACTCCCAGCTATAATAGCAGCGAGGGTGAGGCAAATACCCCGACTATTGCAATCATTTGGACACTCGGCTCGTTCACAGGCTTTGCCTCCATATCCTGGAAAACACATGCAATGTCCAGTGACATAGTCACAATTCCCTTGATTTGAGCATTCAGTTAATGAATGCGCTGTATTCGCGGCAGTCGGGACTTGAACCCACGCATCGCCATACGGACATGTACGCAGCGAGCAATCAGCACCTTTATATGCTGGATATTTGATACTTGGAGTCTCTTGGTCTTGTCGCTCATAGCATGTACACTTATCGTTCTTTCCGCATGTTCCTTGCGCATTGCAGCCGTTCGGACAGTACGCCGTGACATCCGCAGACATCCACATGACAAATGCAATGCATAAACACGCCACTTTAGATACGGATAACATGCTGGACGCGTGATTATTGAAAATTAATGTTGTCTGGGTGGAGTGTGGCGAAATAAATGTGGCGCTTCACGCTGTACAACGTGAAAGATCCCATGATTCCTTGATCAACAGTCGCCGCTGTTACTTTGCGCCGTTATCAAAAATATAGCATAAAGCTATTTTTTTTAAATATCTCTAGCCAATTGAGTAAAGCGAATTATTTCAGCAAATCACCGATCAATATGTTGATAGAAAAGTCATCACGATGTCTAGAGTGGTGGAAGTATTTGAGTACGAAGGTTGTTTTTCTTTCTTACACGAACCTCGCCGCTTCACATTCAAAATCTACAGCGATCATTATCTTTACATTGGCATTGATCCTGCGTGCAGTAATCCTCAACGAGAAGCAATTGATTTGAGAACTTTCCCACAAGAAAATTTGGTAGAAAACGACGACGTGCAAGCTGAGAGACGTCATGTCACCCAACATCTAGATTCGGACATTAACTCTACACCGCTTTATCTCGTACAAGGTCGCGAAGAGAATGAAGATGCTAGAAACACTAAGTTGCTCGCATATGATGGTCGAGCATTGGTAGTGATGCCTTCCGATGGACACGATGAGACGTGTTATATGGTACACTTCAAGCTTGTGCAGTGGGAACCAGGCACGCAAATTGCAGAGACACAGATTATCAAGTGTATCGCTCAATTGTCTCGTAAACGAGGTTTGTCAGGACGATTTGTTGATATTCAAGAAAGCATGGAAGAAGCTCAGGACTTCACTCTGAATCCAATCGCACATCGATTTGAGACATTGACAAACGTATTGCATCCACTCACTCCTGGCCAGTACGAATTACGAGGCATCACAATAGCAGAAAACGCAGTTGTATATGAGTGTATTGTACGTCTTACACTATTTGCAGATGGAATGGTGTCTGGAACATCTCGAGAGCTGACTTTTGCACAAGAATGTCCAATTTCAGGCATGTGGACTCGATTTGGTATTACGTATTTGTTAAAGTACGAGATGCATGGTAGCCAGCACTCATACATTTACTACACCACACCATTCCAATCCTGTCTGTATGGCACGTGGGAGAACGCAAAATTGCAGATGTTAGGAATCAGTAGTCAAGCTGAGCATGGAATTTTGGAGTTTCAATTGGTTCACGCTGTTCGAGTTTGGAGCGAAGCGTATCATAAGGACTATCCAAAGGTATTTCAAGAGTGTGTAAAGCTATTACTACTTGCCTCACTTCGGTCTGGGATTCTGCCCAGTCACTTGTGGCACTTAATTGTTGTGTATTGTGGATACGATTGGTTTCGTAGAATGTAAGATCACCATCATTGTACCATGATGATGTAACTGATAAGGTTTGACTAATAAAGTATATCAACTTTTAAACGAATCACGACGCCCCGTCGGTTCGTGAATTTGACTATAATGGCTGGGAAAAGCTCTATCTCCTCTGCTATCAAGAACTCGCCTGCAGCTTCATTATTACCGTTAGAATGTGTTTACGATGGATGTGTTGGCGGATTTCTAGCGGAGAAAAGTCGCATCTTTCTGCGCATCGAGTCGGACTGGTCTGTGCACGGTCAAGTCCGTCGTCAGCCATGTGGTAGTTTGCGAATTCTAGCCAATGGAAGGAAACGCAAGCGAAAAGCGGTCACTTATCATCCAGACGGCATTATCATCGCTCATATCGTTGGAAATGCCCGAGTTGTTCCATTCCAAGATACTGCTTTGTTGTGTCCTTCAGCTATCCGTGGTGACGGTACATCCATGGCAGAGTATTGCTGTACTCTTGAGATTACTAAGAGACTGGATCATGTGGATCGGCATACTTTGACGTGTCATTTACACGTACCAGTAGCATCTGATGTTCCAGCTTTGGGCACATGGCGGTGTTGCGGTGGTACATTGTCGTCATCCTCTTTTTCTCAGAGATTAGAAACAGTTATAGAACTGCAAGGGGTTCAAACTGTACTGGATGAAAAGGTATTTCAATTGCAACCAGTGCAGTGGTACCAACGTCAACAGGAAGCAGAGGAGGCCGAGAGAAGAGCAACAATGTTGGAGTCCAGACTTCCGTCACTATTGTACCCATTGCGACCGGGAAAGTATGAATTTAGAGGGTTTTCGACATATGACACGCCGTCTGTGGTCACTGCACCATGGTTAAGAAATGGACGAAGAGGTCGTTTACGTCCTATCATGGCAACAAAAAAGGATGAGTGTCTCGTTACATTGCGTTTGTTCCCTGATGGTTCACTTCGTGGTACATCTCGTGAATTCGTACAACCACAAGTATGCTCATTGACTGGTCGCTGGCAAGCCAATCGCATTGTGTATGTGCTCGAATACCACGTTCGTGAGGCAGTGGGTCACTTTCGCTACTCTGGAGCTGTTAGAATTAAAGGTGAAACAACAAACACAAGCAATACTGAAGTTGTTACTGCAGGACGCGAGATGGTTTGTGGCAAGTGGTACAATGTGGACGAAGGTCATGCTGCAGGCTTCGAAGGAGGTCATGGGAAGTTTACGCTGGAACTTGTACGAGTGGATTACTCGCCAATAACCGATAAGAGAGAAAAGGTGAATCATGCTTTTGGAAACCGTCATAGGCAGTCAGGACTTCAGAGAAGAATCGAACTGGATCAAAAGCATAAGGTGAAATGTACTAATGCAGAAATCGATGATGACGACGACGTCATTCGTGCTTTCACCACAGGAATGTACGACTTATCAGGTTGTGCCACTGATGCTGAAGGGTACGAGTACGCATTTGATCTCCAATTACAATTACACACGAATGGAGATCTTTCTGGCCTGTGCAAAGAGCGTATTATTCATCAAATTAGTCCCGTATTTGGACGTTGGACTCCGTTAGGTATCACTTATAGTCAGCAGTACGTGGTGAATCATGAAGTGGGCACATACACTTATGCAGGAGATTTAAGCAACGATGGCGCCGTGGTACGTGGCACCTGGACGAATACTGAGGACGATGCGGCGTTAGTGCTTAGCGAGCATGGGACCTTTGCTCTGATTTTAGTGAATACAAAAAGACAGTGGAGTGCGATTAGTCATGTGTATTACCCGCCAAGCTTTCGGCATGGCGTGTTTGTGACTCTCATGGCATCGGCTCGAAGAAATCAATTGCCAGTGGCGCTCTGGACACGTATCTTTGCATTCTGTAACGAAAAGTGGTTTACTTCGCTGCTATGAGAATAATGATCCTGAAGGTGAACATTGCCGTTTACTCAAAGTCGCGTCACCAATCAGTAGACAAGATAACATTTCTTAGACAGTCAGATTACTATGACAAGTGACCGCTTAATCTTGTCACGTAACATCTCAATTTCATGTTAAATCAATTATGCAAGTTGTAGAAAGTGGAGAAAGCCGTGCTACTTATTACACACTCTCTTGTCATATCTATGTGCTGTCTTTCAACTGTGTCGTATTGTAGCTGTTTAGCCCATGAAATTAAATACCACGAGGAAAAGAATGATGTTGCAAAAGAGATAGTCGGCAAATGCGCGCTGCTCCGTACGATCACCAAAGTTATTGTCGGGATTAATCTGCATGCGAAGTGACACTGTCAATAAGACATAACAATAAAAAGTGATTATAATTAGAGGCTTGATCAAAGGGAATATCTTGTCGTTAAGACGCACCTGCGAGCACGAAGACGCCAACGGTGCAAACGAATCCAGCAAGGAAAGAATTAAACGGAAAGTTGCCGACCAGGAGGCAATAGATAAATTGAAGAATGCCCGTAGTTAGCACATAGGCGAGAAAGCCGTCAATAAGTTTCATCTTTTTGGGTGTGGTCTTGTCGTATGTGGCGTATAAGTCGCCAAGGATAGAGCCCACACCCGATTCCGTTGATTTCTTCGCCATTATTATGTCTTTCGAAATTCACTTTGACAAGAGACGACGCTGCACTTGATAGAAGAACGTAAAGGGGTGGCGATACGTGAGACTTGATGACCTGGGTACTCTGAACTATCAGGAGATATGTTAGCCGAAGACGCGTGGAGGTTTCCGCTAAGTACGGAAAGTGTACACTCCAAACTTACCCCCGATCTACTGACCACTTTCTTGTTATATTAAAAAGTCATCACTTACTGTGGATACTAATATTTGTCTGGTTGTTCATTTCGTCTCGGTCTTACTGCATTCGATATTAATGTGAAATCGACATATTCTTCCTCTCGTGGCTATATTTGGTACAATTCTAGAAACTGCTCTTACGATCTAATTATTGTGGTGAGATTGCTACTAAATTTCAGAATCCACATAATACCCAAACTGGACTTATCTGCTTTAATATTATTCGATTACTATCTAAAGTTGTTCAAAGTGGTAATTTTTTTAATTATAGATATAGTATTCTATACTTTAAGTCAACAGCACGTGCATCTCCCTCGTCATTGCAAGATCTGCCAGTCTGTCTTAGTTGCTCACGATGATATCCCGACAGGTAAATATTGTTGGGAGGCAATGCGTTACGATGCTGATATTGCATCGTTTTCGCTTAGCCTCTACTTACTTTCGAATTATGACCTCGTATGTAACATGCAACTACTATTCCTCCTTCATTGGATATACAGATTATCCGCCGCGTCGCTACCTCACGCAATGCAGCCATGTCCACGCTAGTGGTGGCAGAGCTCAACCAATCGCAGATCTCAGGGCCCACATTGGCTACCGTCACAGCCGCCAATAAGATCGGCGGCGACATTACGATGCTGGTATTAGGCAGCCAAGCCGGTCCGGCTGCCGAAGCTGCTGCCAAAGTAGCTGGCGTCAAAAATGTGCTTCACGCCGCTGACCCGAAGTATGATCACTTTGTAGCCGAAGAGGTCGCTGAGCTGTTGATAGCCGCTCAGAAGGCTAGCAACTATTCCCACGTATTGGCCCCTAGTTCCAACGCTAGTAAGAACTATCTGCCTCGCGCCGGAGCCAAGCTCGATACTGCTCCGATTTCCGATATATTAGCTGTCATTGATAAGGACACATTTCTTCGTCCTACGTACGCTGGAAATGCTATCGCCCAGATCAAATCAAAAGAAGCCGTAAAGCTCATTACAGTGCGACCTACGGGGTTTGAAAAGGCTGCCGCTGAAGGTGGTAATGCGTCAGTTAGTCCGGCTCCTGAAGCTCCAACGGTTGGCAAGTCGACTTTTGTTTCAGAAGAAGTAAGCAAGTCAGAGCGTCCTGATTTGTCCTCGGCTCGTGTGGTCGTCTCTGGTGGCCGCGGTCTGAAGAGCGGTGAGAATTTTGAGATGCTATATAAGCTAGCTGATAAGCTCGGCGGTGCAGTCGGTGCCTCGCGTGCTGCAGTAGACGCTGGTTTTGTGCCAAATGAGCTGCAGGTTGGTCAGACAGGCAAAGTTGTGGCTCCTGAGCTGTACGTAGCTGCTGGTATATCTGGTGCGATTCAGCACTTAGCTGGTATGAAAGACAGCAAAACGATTGTGGCGATTAACAAGGACGAAGAGGCTCCTATCTTCCAAGTCGCCGACTATGGACTTGTAGATGATCTGTTTAAAGTTGTGCCGGAACTAACGGAAAAGATTTAAAATCAGCAACAAATGAGCATTAGCTTGTGCTTTGACAATTTACAAAATTATTGATTCTTGCGCTACTTAAGAAGCACTGCTTTCGAGGTAACTAGTTCTGTCCTCGTCAGAAGCTTAACATCTTGATCATTTTACAGTACGAAATAGTCAAGTTGTGACAAAATTGATGGCCATCAAGAACTTTTCGAGCAAAGACCACAAAAAATCAAGCAAAAGATTTGATTTTATTGAGTTTCCGGATGATATCCGAAACATGTAGGCCATAGATGTGCAGAATTATGGGTAGAGAAGAGCTCGGTGACTACTCATCTACGCTGTCTCATCTAAGCTGGCTGTTCAGTGACTATGGGTACCGGCGTTGCGCCAGTCCGCGGGGTGCTTTGTTGTTCGTACGTTTCGGGGTTGCGATCGTCTGGGTTCTGTCTTGGTCCGTCTTCACGTGATCCGATCATTGTCACGCCCAAAAACGCAAGTGTTGACAAAACTGACGCTGCCACTGCCAGATAGATACTTCCGCATCGCACGAAGTGATTGAATCTACCATGACAATGTAGCGTGACCCCCGACAAGAGCAAAAATAGGGATGCAGTGGCAAGACTCACAAAAAGCACCATATCCATCACTCTTTCACAGTAGTGCACAGGTTGTATGCACAAGCGAAGCCACTCAATAAACACTAAGAAGGCGAAGGCGTATACAAAGGCCAAAAAGTTGATAATTCTTGCAAAACTCATAGCACTACTGCTCACGACGACTTGAACAGTTTGACCTCCTGTCGTATTCTGGTACGATACGCCAGCCGTTCGTAATGCAATGTAAGCGATAAGTGAGCAGCAAAACTGCATCAAACGTAGCAAAACACGAGCCCAAAATCGACAAAATCGACCACTTGACACCATTATTCTTGTAATCTTGTTTTGTTAAACTGCCATTCAACTTACAAGTTTTCTATGACTTGAGACCTGCGATGGGATAATTTCCAAGAAAAAGAACACGAACTCAACACTTAAATGATAGAAAGTCTCTTTTCTTTTTTCTTAATAAAGGATTGGAAAAAGTCTCACAGCAACTTGATCTCCCGAACTTCTTCAAACTTGTTGATTACACGCGGTTCGAAGTGTCTTTAGGTGTCGAGATTCCAGTGGGGGTAGATTCAGCATGATAGTCGACAGCATGACCTGCTTCATCCAAGTCACTTCCATTGTGACGACGCGATCCCATGAAGCTTTCACAACAGTCAAGCAAGAAGGTCACAAAATAAGAAAATGATGCGAGGAACGTGAAGACCACTGCCGTCTTCATATGATTGCAGCGCAGCATATAGCCGTAGACAGAGCAATTCGACACATAGTCTGACACGACCAATACAATTCCAGCAACAACCAGCATTGCTGCTAGTAGAAGATCGATGAGTTGCTCAAAGAGATGAGGAGTTGGACGTGGGAAGAATCGAAAAAGCTCCATAAAGAGGAGAAAGAAGAGGCCCACTACCATGCCCGTATACGTCATAAGCGTCGCATACGTTGCTGCTCTGCTGCCCAACATACTCGAGTAGCCATAGTACGATGCTCCCACAAAAGCACGGGATAGAGTAGCAAGTGCTACAAGAGATAGCGCAAAGTCCAAAAAACGAAGGAGAGCTCGACCCCAGCGCATTGAATTACCACGTGCCATTGTTCGATATCTTGAGATTTACAGTCGAAAGTGATTTGGAAATGACAATTCGAATAATGTGAGAATAAGGAGGGAGTTGAATCCGGGACGAGGTATCACTCGCGACATGGTAGCAAATCCAACCGTTGCAAAATGTGAAAGATGAAGAACATTTCTATATTAATTCTATGACTTTATACAAACCCAACGGGAGGAAGTGCAGCTAATTGCGTTGGAGGAGAACAGACACCATTAAACGGAGACACAAGACTTGTGAGCACAACGGGTGATTGCGGGGCACTGATACCAGGATCGTCGAGCTTTACACAACTTAAAGTACTTGTTCGAGACGGTCTTGTCTCTTCCAGAATGGGTGACAAAAACATCGTCTTGGTGGCAGAGGCGTATCTTGCTACTTGGTATGATGAAAAGCTACAATCGCCAGCATACGTAAAGTTGTTGATCTCCACTACAGAAAATGCGGATGGAGGCTGACTGCATACTGTTCGCGATGCTGAAAGCTTTTTCAGGTAGAGTTTTAGCGCGAGCGCAAATATCAGGAAAGCTATGACACATGCGACTACTATCCCGCACGATATCATGTATGTTGTTGACGCCGCAAGTGTAAATGTGTTTCTGGCCCGAAACAGTTGAGTTGATACCGCACGAAACGGTTTTTAAAGAGCTCCCATAGGAAAGGATGCACGACGCACTATCCATCAGGTGGCTTTGTCTGGGTTGTTGAATTCTGGACGGGCGTGGTACATATTGATTTGTTACTTCTTGAAGTGGGGATGGACAGCACACTATGCGATCATCAAATTGCCTGATGCAGTTATTATTGGCGATACTGTGATTATTGGCCAAAATTGCTTCATTGACCAATCCCTTACGATCTCTTATGCAAAAGTCGGGTTTTGAAATTCCAGAATATCAACACATTACTCGGAAGTTACAAGTTCGACGCATTTCGTGCCGTCTTTGTTTGATCAGCTTCTTGTGTAAGGATCACCACCAATTCACAATCCTAATTAAGATCCATTTTTAGTCTTTCCATGTTGCTCAAAATCACGTAACAAAAAGCATTCTGTACAATTGTTCATATACTTCAAAGTATAGCAACATAATGACAAGTTATTGGTAGCACTTGCAATGATGGAAAATTCTAGGGTTTGTGGGATGCATGGGACACCAAAGAGCATATGCAATCATTTATCTTCACACTCAATTGTGCATCACCTAACACATGTGAGTCCACACCATGATCTGCCCGATTAGTCTACCTGATTATGAAAGTTGCTGATCAACACATGTTAGTTAATCGACGCAGATGTGCAAAAATTTCAGCTACGAGAATTGATAGTATTCCAGTCAATGCTGCATCAAGTACAAAGCCTGTATTACCTATCATTATAGACTCACTCGCTTCCCGCACTTCATATCGTTACATTGTCTTTTACCGACGATAGTACTTTATTATATGGTTGAGTCGACGTTTTTACTGTACCAATACATTAGGAAATCAATTAGTTATTTTCATTTTCTAGACCAATTGTCCAGTAAAGGCGTTTTATATTTATAAACCACAATGAGACTACGTGTATCTTGAAACCCACTAGATCGATAAAAGCCAACGAAAGTATCAGCACAAAGATCATAAATGTACACAACGTAACAACCAAACTGACTGCGACGTGGTTTGATTATGCCACATATATGAATATATGAAAGTACACCTGATAAAGACTGGACCTTCTTTGATGACTCCTCTTACTTTGAATCTTGTCAAGTGTACGAGTCAATGCATAGTCACCCCGAGAACAAATCCGTACCCTATTATAGAGTCCGAATATATTACATCGTTGTCCCTCCAAAGCTTTCAGAATTTATTGAGTCTAAATTGAAAATTTGCCATTACACCACTTGTAATGTGAATTTGTACAATCGAACTGTAGCGCAATTGAAAAATTATCAAACTGAAAGGATTCAGTTCAAAAGATTACAATAAAAATACCTCTTCGCTCATATGGCACACTCTGTAAATAAGGACGAGGGAAGTTGGTTTACGGCGAGTGGGAATGTTTAGATGACGCCGCTCGATATTCTGGAAAAACGATGTTTCGACTTTGCCTATTTTGCATGCATTCATATTGTTTGCTCGCGCAGAAGTGTCAGATTAGCTTTGTTGTCAACGTATGGTTGCTTCACCTAAAATTGACACAACTTTCGGACTCAATGTGGGGTTACCTAGCCAGAATGCTCCTTAAACCTTGGCTTTGGCTCGGTCTTGATTCCTGATACATCGTATATAACCTGAAGTAGTCTGGCTCTGCGTGTCATCGTCTGCATATCTACAAGCCGAACCTCGTGTCGATGTAGTCGATCTTCAAAATTTCTACTCACACATTCTCACATTAAACTTCTGGTATCTTCAACTTGACTGCATCTGTTTTAATTTCCTTGATCTCATAAAGTTTTTTTCTGCGGCAATTCTGTCACCAACATATAGACCAACGGAGTTAAAACCTTCTAGGGGTTTCGTGTCGTTGCCCCCCCCGCAGCCCTAAGAGTTTTTCTTACAAAGGCACAATGTATTGTCTTGTTTCAGGTACATGCTGCTTGTTCCAATCCGTATACAGCCCTTTTCGGATAATATACGCATCCTCGAGCATTGTCTACATCCAGCGGAACTTCCATATAATCGCTGTCTGTCAGCACACTGATGGGATGAGCAGAGTCGACATTGGGTGATTCGAATTGGTAGTTACATTTGACACACACTGCAAGTGATATCCGAGATAAATTCTTTTTGGCGACCAAGGAATAAGCCGTTGAGAGATCGGCCCTGTACTTTTGCTCGAAACCCTTCGCGACAATTCGTACCTTGTACCGCACAACATGGCCATTTTGATCACGCATCGTAGCAAAGATCCATCGTGATCCAATTATGTGACAGTTATTACCTCTTGGCTTTAATTTTCATTTTGGTTTTGCTCATGGGGGCAAAGATCAGCTTCAATAGATTCACGCCACTTCACTGCATCGTCGCTTGTCATTGCTTGAGTATATGTAGTCGGCAAGTCCGTACCATCTTCTCCTTCCGCCATGTACGCAAAATCTGCATCGACATTGAATTCGTACATCCTAGTTTGTTCTGCAGACGGTGCACCTTTATGTTGCTTCATCATCATCTGAGTCAATTCTTAGTATCAGCATCGACTCATGTCTTCCTCTTGTTTGCTCTATTTCAGACCGAAACACTAAGATCTTTTAAACGCGGGTGTAGCGATAAGCGATAGTCTGCTAGTTTTTGATAGAACGCTTGAAAACGTGGTTGATGTATAATGACACTTAGTGAATGATTCACATCGTCCACATCGATGTCTCCGACTGATCGTTGACATTTCTCACAAATTTATCCCGAACTGGCTGTCAATCCACTTTAAGTTGGTTGGACATAGCCACCATCTGTGTCCTTTCTCACTTTGAAAGTTGCTTCTGGGCCGGGCTTGATCAACCGAATACCTTTGGTTGAACGATGCGACATGAATAAAGCAATCATGCAAATGTCATCCTGGACTACTCCTCGAAACTTGTGGAGTCGTGCCAACAGTCGCGCATGTGCGCTTTAACGATTCTTGAACTGGATGCAACAACCTTATTTTTGTTTCAGATGAAATCCGACGAGCGCAAAATTTCTACATTGATACCATGTTCTGCAAGCTTGCCAACAGACAACAATTCTTCTGGCAAGTCCTGAGGTAAATATAGCTTCAGTAATGCAAACTCCCTTTCCACCCAATCATACTAGTCAATTTTACGGTGCAAATCCTTTGGATGAGTAACGGTTTGACATCTGCAATCGTGGCTTCGATTTATGCCTCATAGTCCTTGTTTTCAAACAAGTCGTTACTATGCGGGCCATGTGGGGGCGCCACTGTGAATAAGATATCCCGCTAGTTGGCCTACATCCACTGCAGATACCGCGTCATCGTTTTCTGTTCGGACTCTACTGCTTCATATGACTAACCTGGTCGCTATCAAAACACTCATTTTTAATTCCGTCCTACACACGGCACCATTTTGAGCATTAACTTGTTCACTGATAAATCTTTCAGAATTTCTATTTACGCGAAGCGCTTGCTCTGAAGTCTTCTTTTTTGCAGCTTCTCTGATCCATTGGGCAGCTTCTTCTTGACTTTGTCCAATGTACTATCCTTCGCATTATCCACAATTGATGAGATTAAATCAAATTAACGACGTCAGACCTATGAGAAGTACCACCAACTGGTGCGACTCGCCAACTGACTTATTATTTACTATCTGAAGACCTACAACTAATTTGTCAAAAGAGTCGAGATGTCTCCGCCACGCGAGCAGCACTTTCCAACTTGGAATCGTGAAGTCTTCGTGTTATCGTCAGGCGAATGTGCAATGTCAAGCGATTGCAGAACTCACGTAGCGTTACCAGGCCAACACAGCACCGAAAGTTAATCTAATATTGAATTTTAACGCCTTGCGTAATCATATGTAATACCACTGCGTCTTTCTAAGCCATGTCTCTGTGGTATCGTTCTCACTCTTGTCAACCACGATATGCCCCGGAAAACCCTTCCTGACTAAGTGGTCCTCATATTGGACACCCAGTGGTAGAAGTTACCGCTTCATAGGAATACTTTGGTGCGAGTGTTATATCGTCGGCACTGATGCTATTGTAACGGAAGGCTCGGTCGAGGCCGTCAAACGACTACTTGATGGTAAACCTGATGTAAAAAAGTTGACTTATTATGTTTCTATGCCCTCCTTCTTCTAACATTACCAGATTTAGACTACATGTCTTTGTCGTAATAATATGCAACTTGGTCAGCTGGCCATATGAAAGGACGGTGGGATGCAGGTACTAGTTAAGTACTCCATACTGGCCCTTCAAAAACTGTGAAATCAAAATTTGTCCGTTGAGGGACTTGAAAAAGTGGAGCCATAACATCTCGTCCGCTAGGCTAATCTGAGCTCGCTTTCAATACGAGGAATGTAGGACATATGCATGCAAAGTAGACATAGCCGTAATATCGTTCTTCACCAGTATTGAGCAGTCTCGTCTTAGCTGATAGATAGTGAATGATCAAAGGTGGTTTCGGTACAGTAATGTTTTGCCTTAAGTCATTGGTGCACGCTAAAGTAAGTACTACAGGTACCATTCTCGTACACACCTGATACATACAGCACAATACGATATGTATTGCCTTCTGACTTTAACCAGCGCAACAAGCTGTTTGCTATCACAATTCTGACTGCAAAATATCATCTGAAAAAAAGATCACGCATTACTTCAATACAAGCATCACTGATATCTTGTGTGGATCTGACATACATGTGAACGATTGTCTATCGCATTGAATCTTGCTGTAAATTTAATGAAATGGTCTAATCCCTGAAAGATGATTGATGTTTTGTCATGAGCCGAAAGAACAAGCATACTAGAGGAATGACAAACATTCCGCCACTTTATAAGCCCTGACCTCTTCTGCGCGCAAAGAAGCGCGCCCTCGACAGATCAATATACTTTATCAATTCTATTATCCCCGACTTCCTTGGCAAATTTTGCGCCGAGACGATATTCAGCTGTTAACGGTCCAGTTTTCGAAAATAGTGCGCGATTGTACTACGGCTTCACTCATCACAGCTGCTCTTTATCACCTGATTGGTAGGTAAGCTGTGTGCAGCTTTTCGAGCTATACATGTGCTTACATGATCACTGCCACCTCACTTCTAATTGACATGTACAAATCGGAATTAATGTGTACCCAATTTGATCATATTACAGGTTATCTCTGACACAACTCATGCGATCTCATCACTTGAGTCAACAATTATTCCAGCATACGCGTGCATGTATATCCATAGGTAAATCCTGAGACAGCGTAGATCTAGTCAAGCGGGTATTGGCCTTGAATTGATCTTTATATAGTAAACAGAAGTTTAAGAATCTATGCTGTCCAACAAATTTGATCTGATGTTTGCGCTCGTGACGCTTCTGCCCTCCGAGCTAAATGCATAGACAATATCATGGCTTGCTTTTAGCTAACCCATCTTCATGCTCGCCATAAAATGAAATTTTGATCTTGCAGAGGTAAATTCATGAAAACTCGAAAGCCAGCTACGAGAAAGGTGCGTGACGTCCAATGTCTATGACTCACAATAGATTCCTGTATCAGTCCACCAAGCCGAGCACCATCATATCGTATCCTCAATTTACTAGTAGAGACAAGGTACCACTTTGTAACATTTCTCGAACTTTAGACAATTTTTATCGCCGTAACAAATGTACCCTTCGTACGACGCACGTAAGAGAACTCGACCTATCTCACCTCTCAAACCAGTAAGACGCTGACTCGCTGGACGCAATCTTTGGTGCGACCAATAACGAGCCATCAGGGATTATAACGAGTCACGCTGCACACTATTTACATCCTTAGCTTATTCTAATTGCTGACCTCGGGCCCGTACATTGGGCCGCAGAAACGCGATAAAAGAGCTCGCATACCGACACGTTATGTAGCAAAAAGCTCGAAGTGGGTATGATGGTGGTAATACCTGCCTGCCCTGTATATGTGGACTCCAATGATGTTTAGCCCTTTTCAGACTTTATATACCCGCAAACATTACCTCTTCAATACCTACTAAGTGAGAATGTTAAAGAAAAATACAAGGTGCGTTAAGTTACGTTATTTAGACAATTGCGTTTAGAGAGTGACCCATAGGGCCAATTGCACATCATAGATGAGTGGGAACTGGAAGGCTAACTTCAGTGGCCTGCTTTCGTAGATCCTTAAATGTCTCGCAAAGGGCAGTTGGGAGAGGCCCAGCCAAAACGCGCACTATTCAGGGCGACGTGATATGGCAGTCAAAATGGAATCATCTCAGAGGGTGTGGCCGTGCCGATACTGCCCTTCCAAGGACGGCACTTAATTTAAGCGGGTCCAGATAGATTTTAAGTGCAATAATTTGCTGAGCTAGATCAGTCTTGGCCAGTCTTAACATAAGCCAGTATTGGGACTGTTCCGGACACTGTTGCCCTTTTACAGTCTGAAAGACGTAGTCAGACCGGTTGGAATTTAAAGTGGAGACTTTAACAACAATTTACCATCGTCGGTAGATGGGTAGGTACGACTGCTTAGCTCCCGAAGTACGGCGTACCCAAAAGTCTTAGTGCGGAAGTGGTGAAATTTTTCGTCCGTGTTTGTATCGAGCAAGAATATGGTGAAGACTAGGTTGAGTTTGAACCATCGACAACAAAATGTCTGAATCACAAGTTTGGGTAAAAGCGCCCAGAAATTCTTCAATGACTTTGCAGAGCTCTTTAAGGGAACATTGCCCAACATTGCCTCGGTAGACGGCCCCTTAAAAAACAGCCTCACTTACTTTAATATGTGCCACAAATGAAGCCACAGACTGCGGCGGCTTAATCTACTTGTTCCATAGTTTAACATTTTGGTCTGGCGGAATGCGTCCATCCAAACCTCCAATTAACCACCCATAAGAAGTGATTGAGGAAACTGGAGGATTTCTTTTATGGGTAGGAGGAAGGCGTTGTAGATCTAGCGCTAAATTGGCGGCGGCACTAAACACCATTCGACTTGCCTTCATAATCCGAGCTGGCAAAAAAAATCGGTGACTTGAATGTAGCTGACCGGAAATTTGAATATACTCCCATGAAGCCGAACCGATTTGAATCAGGCCACATTTGCGGCCTCAATATCGTGGTACGTCGATCGGTGTCCGGGTCAGAATGGTCCCCTCTATGTGGCTCACTGTCCGACCCAGAGTTGTCGGCCATGGCAGAACGACCACTGGTGTCGCTTTGGTCGTCAAAAGCAGGGAGGATACTGGCTGTATCGTCCGCGTTTAAGCCTGATAAGGCTGACTTGGACTGCCGGGTCGGCTTACCGTTGTCACGTAATTCCTTGACAAAGGGAGGTATGACACTATTAATGGCTCGATATCGGTGATAAGCCACCGAGTAGCCTTGCCCAGTAAACTGGTTCTCGCGAAGCGGGGTACGCTTGTCAAGCACAACCGAAGTCGGGGGCGTTTTTCTGGTAGAAGTAAACTGGACGACTGCGGGAACAAAGCCCTCCTACCACGTGTGATGTACACCGGTGGTGAGCCTTTTTGGGCAAACTAGTCGTAAATAACTTCATCAGAAAGTTCATCGGAAAGTCGTAGAAGATCCACAAAGTACCAGTGGGAGTATCTTTAGTACGTCTGGACTTTGAATGTGCGCTCACAAATGGTCCCTAATTCACCCCACACACCTTGTTTGGTTAATTATGGCAGAATTTTGCACCTTCAATACAATTATCAGTTTATGTTGCTTATCTTGTGTTTATGTGGCACTGTCAACTCTACATCACATTAACGAAAGCACTTCATCTCTCTTACGTGCATAATTTAGACTCTTAATTAATTCAGTGATTTTGAGAGTCACGCTAGCTGCTTCGAGTCAGAGATTAAGTAATGTAGCTATTGCTGGGTTTGTGGCGCCATTATTGTTGTTGAGCTTTGATGACGCAAAAATGAGCTTTTAGGATATTTAAAATCTACAAGTGTTTCTGGAAGTATATAGTTATGGAGGTTTTCGTACAGGAGTTTTGATCATGGCAGTGATTACACTATCTTTTAGATAATTTTTGGTGATATAGACGCTTGGTAGCATCTCCGACCAAGAGAAGCTGGAACTAAAGGATCCCAGTCTGACAAAGCGTTGAACGTGGACAGACAAACGGAACGTTAACAGCAACAATGAAATCGTTTTTCCATCTGCTTTTTCTCAGGCACGATCGAGCATCATGATCCACAATCAAGACCAAACGTCGTCTCCATGGAGTAAGGTGGCCTGAAGTTGCTCTCATGAATGCGCTATTAGTTTTTGTGAACTTGCTAGATGCTGATTTGCTAATGAGCACGTTAGACGGCAACTGCCGAGTGGATGAGTGTTCAACATAAAGACACTCAAACAATCACAATCTTCAAACTTGCCTTCTAGATCTGCTTTTACAAAGACGGCGTTTCAAAAGCACGTTGAACGATGTGCTCTGGGACTTATTTCCACGAAGATAACATGTCAAGAAATATTCAAATCGCTAATAAAATGAAAAAAGTAATAAAATTAACTGTCATGTATTAAGGCATTGCTTCATTCGTCATCGAGCCTCCCATGAAAATTGCTTTCCTTTAGACCTTGGAAGCGGGTACATCGTTGTAGTTGCCAATGGGAGAGAGGGCACCAGACGTTGGCGTCAGGTTCTGATGGTACGGCACAGGCTCCTCAACCTGCACGTTGGAGTGTCCATGAGATGGCTGTTGAGCGGACAGAAAGACCGATAGACACAACGACACAAAAAAGAAGAACATAGCAATGAAGTCAAACGCCGTAGCCGCACGCAAGTTGTTGCAGCGCCATCCGAAACCACAATCACTCGTAAAGTCGGAAGCGGCAAGGCAAATGCCGGCAATGAGCAGCATCACAACTAGCGCACCGTCAACAGCTTGCTCCATACGAAGAGCGGGACGATTGGCCACACGCAGCAACTCCACGGCCACAATGTACCACAACGTATACAGCATCCCCGTGTATCCCATAAGCAGCACAAATGTGCTTGAGTGCGTCGCGCCGCCACCGTAGAAGCCAGCGGCCGCGAGAGACATAGCCAAAAGGCTACAGATAAACTGCAGGCCACGAAGCGCAAGACTAACATAAAAGAAGTTCGATGAGCTCACGGCGCCGACTGACATTGTTGCTAACTATTCCTGGTCCTGAATTTGGCTTGTGGTGATGTGCGCGCAGATTGAAGAATGACCGTTCCCTTTCCTTAGGTGATCTGAAGATGGTTTTTTGGTATACAAGTAATAAGTATAGACGAGGTTTTCAGGCACGGATGTCGGAAGAAGGTACCAAACGAATGTGACTTATTTCGTGTATATGTCTTGCCCAGCTGGCAGTTACCTGGTGTTGATGATGGATTTTTTTTCTGGCCAACACTGACTGGTCACTGGTTCAAATGGAGGGCGCTGTGGTCCGACTTAGCAATTGTATGTGTTGGCTTCCTGTCATTTCCCAGTTATAGTCCAGTTTTCGAGATTGCACGATCGCAGACATTATAGGACAATTATCCTTTACTAAAAGAGAATAGAGTAAAAGTAGAAAGTGGTTGTGCATGTTGGTACAAACGAATACGGGACAGGCGAGTCATGCACTGTACGTTATCTATGGTATTGCAGACTGTACCTATGTAGAGAGCTACTAAAGAGTCAAGCACATGTTGTATATCTATCTGACCACGAAGTTCTGAACATCCACGATGACTGAACCGATAGTACCTGCTGATAAATACATTAATGAGAAGCTGCAGCTACAAATTGAGCCGGGAAGAGCAAAATACGCCCGGCATTATTTTTTCACATATATTAGTAGAAAAGTGGCCATATCACATCTCATTCATTCCCTCGTGTGACACGTATGGAGGAGAAAAATATCACCCATTTCAACAGTCATTAAACCTCAAATTGTAGATGGGACATAAGGTATTAAAATGATTTTTATTTGATCATGACATTTTAAGACATGTGAGCACATTTGACGGCACATTTGATCATAGAGAAGACGAAACGTGTGCTTTGAGTGCTCGCGTCCATATAAGCAAATAAGATAAAATTACAAAGGACAATATGGGCAGAGAACTGCCCTACCGCTGCAATTCAGTATCATTGCTTGATTGATTAAAGGCCGGAGAAGAGAAAGTAATTACAGTAGACGATATATGTAAGAAGATGATCTAGGTCCGCGGAGGTATGAGCCTCCTCGTTCCACTCTCATCATCCTCTAGACAGTGAAAAGCCCGAACTCAGAACGAGCCCGGACATCACCAAGCATTCCTATTCCACGCTTGTAACAGGGCTTTCGCTATGGGAGAGAGCAGGTAAACTCCTGACATAAGAGCGTGGCAGCCGGTTAATCGGAAACAACAATCGAACAAATCGGTTTCGAGGTAATTTCCAAACTGGTCCCCTTCGGTAGCAACACCGATAAATGACTGGTGCACAAAAGTAGTAATATTAACTTATATTTACTCTATTCAGATAACCTTCTATAATCAATAGATTGTCTGCTGAAGATTATTCCACCTGAATAAAAGGTCGTCATCATGATGCTGCAGTTCTTGCATCGCCTAAGGGCCAGATCTGCAGTTTGTCGAGCTTTTGCGCTAGAAGTAAATCCTCAAAGGCGAAAAAAACTGCAATATGGTGTAGGTGTACGCTTTAAAAGCTTTATGTCAAACGTTGGCAAGCCGCTAGGACTCAAAGACAGTATCCAAACAGCTTCCGGACTAACTCCCACCACGCAAATGTTGGTGATGTATGTGGCTGTGGCGATCTCTGCCATGGGTATTATCGGACGCTATAAAAGCCGTGATGCCGAAACAGATGAGGTATGTACGGTTGATAGCTCTCTGAGAGAAATTGCCATACTAAAAATCTCGTGTCATTGCAGAGTGTACGCATTTTCAACATGGCTAAACGTGCCGTGGTTAAAGACCATCGCGTATTTGAGACTGTGGGATATCCAAAGCATTTTGAACGCATCGGAGAATACGATGCCGATGGCTCGCCAACGGAGTTTAAGAGTGGAGAAGGCAGCTTTGAGGTCACAGGTGACAAGTACGTGATATAGTGGTATGTTTGACGTGCATATGATTGACCGAGACGTTGTCAATTTCAGGGGAAGTGTTGTAGTGCACTATCGTAAGGATCATAATATAGACGAAGTTGGCGACAACGTCACGTTCGACAGGTTGAGCGTAAATTGCGAGGACGGGACGGAGTTTTCGGCTCTGGAATCGTTTATGCAGAAGCAGGATGTTGTAACACATCAGAATTCTGAGGCACTGGGCAACAAGCTGTTCTTTCCTGTCATTGGAGGCGTGTTGATCGGAGGTCTCTCATCTTTCTTTGTAATCCGGATCTTGCGCAACCGACCATTCTACGTCCACAAACTGGTGTTAGATCATATTAATAATCATAATATGGCGCGGCAGCTCCTCGGTCATCCTATCAGATGCGATAAATCCAAATACGTTGGCGAACTTACGACTGAGGCAGCTAACTACACAATCACGTGTACTGGACCTAAAGGTAACGGCACCATCATTGTCAAAGCCTTTAAAAAGGACAAGACTGACGAATTCTCTAGCGTCAAAAAAGACAATTTTTTTATGACTCCCGGTACGTCTTGGAAATTTTCGACGCTTGTCTTGTCGGTCAGTCGCAGTGAAAAACGCAAAGCAAAAGTTGCTAAGACCATAAATCTTTTAAAACAAGAAGACATGTCGTCAATGCATTCAAAGCAAGCCTAAAATGCAATTTAAGTGATTTTGCAATAGATATATTGAGGTAACAACATTTTTCTTTGCTTGCAATCCAGAATGTGACAAGATAGATGTCATCTAATTTGATTGGAAACAGAATGATGCATTAGGACGCTGATACATCTCAAATTTGGAATTTTTTAACCATCTCTGAATCACGATCGCGATATCCACCAGTTGTCCAACCGAAAACTTCGGCCATGTCTCCTCATTCAATTACACTTGTCGGTATAGTACTCCGAGGTTTACAATTGGCCTTCGCTTTGGTCGCAGTTACAACTACAATGCTTTCATTTCCAATAGCCAAAGCGTCAAACGACAACTTTTCTCGCCTTGGAAGTTTTGCATCCACATTCATACTACTTGTGTCCTATACTGTCGCAGAATATGCTGGTGTTTTTATCATTCTCATCGAAATTTTCTTCGTCGTAGATCGACCAAATCCAGTGTTTACACGGATATTGGACAGTTTTTTAACAATACTTGTTTTAGTCTCTGGAATAAAACTGGCGTCAAGTGACTACGTGCAAGACTGCGAGGAATATGCACATCTGGCAAATTGCAGCAATTTAATAATGTCGAGTATATTTACCCTTTCGTGCGTGATTCCTCTCTTTTGCTCAATAGTTTTAACATTCAAAAGAGGCAACATTGCCTCAAAATATCGTCGTGGCGTAAAAAATTAGATCTAGTAAAACTTTTAAGAACATTTTAAAATTTAACTCGTTATTGTCCTGCGCGACGACGCATTGCTGAAATACGACGAAAGTCGTTGAGGCTATTGCTTGAACGTCGCTTACGCATACTTTCGTAGTATTTGTCACGTTGACGTCTACTTATCTGCACATGGTCATACCGTCTGTCAGCGATGTAGATTACGACAAAGCACGCGACAAACGTAAGACCAATAGATGAAAAGAAGAGGCTAAGACCGCATATAGATCCAATGCATGAATCACCCGTTCCTTTTCTTCCCTTGTGAGAGTTTCCAGTGACAGATGTTGTGGTGAACACTTGAGATAATTCGTCTTGAACAGTGCGTTGACGCTGAACCGATATCCATTCCGTTGTTTTAGCGAGAGTAACCGGACTTGATGGAGGTATAACATGATGGTTCGAGGCTGCTCCAAGACGAAGTGAGCTGGCGTTCGAATTTACTGGAAAGTATTGAACAATTAAGAACACAGCCAAGAGCGAAGGAACCGTCAAGATGAATGAGAATAGTTTGACAAGCATGATTGAGAAAGAATGAGCAATGAAGTTGAGTAGCAAAGCTGGTAGGGTGTGAACATCTCGACCTATTTTGAGACGCAATGTCTTATGATGTACAATATAGTAGACTTTATATGAGCTCATCTGGTAAATTTTATTTAAGGATCAAACATATTTTTAAATTAAGCTGAAGGGCACAATCTTTGTAACTTTCGGAAATTTGTAATGCTAGTGTAGGGCTCGGTAGTGATGATCCATGACGACGGGCGAAGTTGAACTGAAATTAGATTCGCAGAGCTGAGAATGCAAGCTAAGAATTATACAAGTCAGTAGACATTCAGATTTGTATGATCTCTGTTACAGTTCAAAACGACACAACATGTTTACTCATTTGATTGTATCTTAAATTGGGCAACGTGCTGAAAGTAAATCACAATATCGTGTTGATCGCACACTATGTGGCAAAAAGCGTCGCCGAAAAATTTTGATGAATGTATTACCGAGATGTCAATCTATGCATTTCTCCAAATAATGCAACAATGCTGAACATCAGGAGCTTCAGTAATGCACAGGTAGCGACGAAGATTAATGTCAGGAAACGTTACGGACAAATCCACTACATCTTCTTTGCATGTGAGTTGAAATCACAGCGCTTGTCGTTCCCCCTATCTCGATCGTAACCTGCGCTGTTTTCTCCGCTTTTCCAGCAGAAAAGTGGACATAGCATCAAAGGGGGTGGCGCATTTGTTAAAGTGTGTGAAGTTTTGATGATAAAGTTCAATCAATAAGATTTTGGGGCGAATCTTTGGCGATGGGACGTTGTGTGGTAAAAGCTGCCATTTTGATTCAAATCACAGTCTACAGTCATAAATCTTGAAAGCACCTTTCATCCTATATTGATTCAGTGGCTAAAATTTTTAGACACGAAACTGTCGAGAATGAGTAATACCGTTTGTTAAAAATTGCCTGTGCATTGTATCAGTACTACAACAGTCACAAATTTGAATTAGATTTTGTCCATAGTACAGAAATAGTAAGCCATTCCTTTTTGCAGCCGCTTAATTGCTACTTGATTTTTTTTTCTTCGACGACGAAATAGCCATATACCGCACAGCAAATATTGTTGGCAGTATGGCCATAACAACAACCTCCACATCGCGCAAATCTTCATTTGCAGTATTACAATGAGATGGTCAGTATGTCTTTCAATTGTTCAAGGAGTGACAACGTAGGAATAAAACTCATCAATGTTTATAGTCCATTCGACAAAATTATTCAAGCATCATGTGAAAATGTCGAGTTTTCATTGATGGAGTCGTGCGATTGCTAGCGGGTACAGACAGAAGTCGTCGACAACGCACACATAAATTAGGTTGGTGCTCGCGGCACACTGCTCTAAATCAAATCTTGGTAATAATTAATGAATATTATGGGATAGCTCGAATAATTAGGGTTAATGTAACACTTTGTCGATATGTTTTAATAATCAATGTGATATAATCAGGCTAGATATAATAAGTACTCTGTTCATTCTATGAGTAGCGCTATGTTTCTAACATGTTTACAAGAGATACAAAAAAACACCAGTTTATCGTTCACTCAAGTCGCTAGATAATCCACATTTCAGAATCTCTCCAACGCAGCTGCCAACGCCGTGGCGATAGTTTAAGTCAGTCGGGATGGACTCGAATGTACTGGATTCTCTGCTGACCCTCACTAACAAACCTTTAAGCTCTTCACACCTTACAAGCACGACGATGAATGACAACATTATGTCACAAACCATGGTCTCGTCCTTTTCTATGGACGTGTCTGCTTACTCAAGCGATTTGTATGAATATCCCGCGACCAAACGACCTGTTGATGGACTTTCAAACGCATTTGTTATACGTTGGGAGAACGTTTTGGTACCAACGAAGTGGATGCGTCAGCATCTTGGGCTCAAATCGTCCGTTGCAGCTCTTCCGGCTGTAAAACAACGAATATTACGCCTTCGAAACCTTCCAGCAACAATTGCTACAATTGAGCAAGACATGATCCACTTGCTTACTTCAGTGTCCCAATATGGTCCAGTTTTTATTATCAGTGACGATAGTTTACAATATGTTGAAGCAATGTGCAAGACATTGTTTCCACGATTAGCTTTCTGTCTTCATAGTATGACGACAATGACTAATGTTCATGTTATTGGAGCTCCTAAGAGATTTCAGTCGACAGCAGAGAAAACGGAATGGAGAGCTCAGTTGCTACCAAGCCTTTGTCAAAATCGACTCTTTGGCGGTACACCACAGAAATTATTGGACCCTCACACAGGCAGATTTGGACTCGTTGTTGTGAGTCCATATTACACTGACATTGCATCATGTGGTGACATGTACAAAGCGGCACCGTATGTTGTGGCAAAGAGTGTCTATGTTCAAAATGCAAGACATCTCTGCCTTGAGGACTTTACATTGCATTTACGAACACTGGCAGATTATGTTCCGCAAGCTGCACCATGCGACACAAGTTTCGCAATACAATTATAACTACAATTATTGCTTAAATACTCCCATACGTTCTTTACAATAATTGATCTGCATCTTAACTACCTCTCTTACTTTACTGATGAAAATGTTAGTTGTTCATGACTTCGATGCCAATCTTGATACGCTACTTCCATCTAACAACAAAACAAGCACTTTCAAATATAACATTCTCGTTTTCATAACTTCTTTAATTCTGACAGGACAAACCTGATTCAAGTGACTAGAAGCATCAGCAAGTGCTGCATTTGTCGCGAGTCGCGCACGCGATAAAGCACGAGTGCGTTCTTCATGAAATTTCGAGCTTGCAAGGCGTTGAAACAATTCGTCACTTTCGATCACCTGTTGTCGTGTCTGTGACGTTTGAGTTGCCAGTTTCAGCTTCCATTTCGACATTCGATCTTCATGCTGTTTTTCATATTGCATGTCAATAATTTGTTCAGGTTCAATGTTTGGCGTCTCTTGCTTGAATGAATCATGATGAAGTAATTCCACGTTATCTTGCAATGCAGAACAATGATCTATAGGTGATTGAGATAGCGGAAGCGACAACATCACCATATTATTGTCTAAACTTTCGCTCTTAATATCTGCACACGCTGACGAGATTGTAGAGCTTGTCGACTGTGCTGACGATGTATCTCGTCGAAAGTTGTCAATTTGCACGAGATTTGGAAGCAATTCAAAAAAAAGATTAGCGTAATCTGGTGTGTGATGGATATACGGATTGCCAGCCAGTCGCAGAACACAAAGGGATTCTGGAAACTCGCTTACGTCGATTTCGTCAATATAATTCATTGACAAGTCTAGAAATTTGAGCTACAAAAGCGCATTCAATAATTTCTCAAACAATCAAATCAACAAATATTGACGTACATTGACCAAGCATTTCAAATTTCGAACTCGACGAATGCGATTTCCAGCAAGAGCAAGAAACAAAAGCTGCTGATGATTCTCAAGATTTTCGATCGTCTCAATCAGATTATACTGAAGATACAACGTCTCGACGTGAGTAAAAGCATCTAGATTATCAATTCTGCCAATATCAAGCCAATCCAGTCGTAAAATCTTTTTGCTAAGAATTGCTTTCACCTCCTTGTCTTCATCTTTGATACTTCGTGTCCGTCGTGTCAAATTCTTTGTCAATGCAATACTTTCTCGAATTAGTCTCATGGTCAAATGAACTGGTCGTTCATTCTCCGTGGGTATTTTCATAGCCATACCTACTAACTTTTCTTCCGAAGCTGCCATTTCTACATTAGGGTCGGCCTGTTTCACGCCCTCTTCTTGTACAATACAGTCGTTTAAAGATGATGCAAAACAGGAATTCTTAAGACCAAGACTTGCAAGCCACCGTTTGTCTCGAAGAGTCATGAGTTGCTCAATCGCTTGTTGATCTTGGGCTTGACCGACGTTCAATGTTGCGAATAAATCCATACCTAGTAAGTAATACAAAGGGGTACGACAAAGAGGAATGTCGATTGCAACGTCGTTTTTGCTCGCATCGGTTACTTTGGATGAGAAGGCCAGTAACGTCTGATAATTATTGTGATGTTTCGAAGAATGGTACAGAGAAAAAATGTCGAGTCTAAATCTAGCTTTTAGGGCTTTTGAAGTCGAGACAAATGGCGCTCTTTTATGAGTGCTGGAAGAATCGAAGTGCTACACTTGAACGATTGCAACAACTTCTTGAGTGCGTTGTAGCAACATGCTGTCCTAGTCGTGTGAATTGTTAATAAGTTGTATATTTAATTTTTTTAGTGACGCTGAAGCACACGCTGAAAGTGAAGGCAAGGCTGCAACTAATATCCAACGACTTTTTCGTGGATATCGAATTCGCGCTCTTCTCGCCGTACAGACGTATGAACTACCTCCACTTTACTATTGACTTTGAAGTGATTGTACTTATCTATGAACTTTAGGAAGGCTGCCATTGTGATTTCCCGTGTATATCGCGGTCATCTTGCCCAGCGACGGTGTAAACGATTACGGGCTGAAAGAGTGCAAGCTTTTCAACAAACTATCTTGGATTACTATGCAATAATCATTCAAAAGTTAGCTCGTGGTGTATCAAGTCGAACCAATCATCTTGACTTAAAGAAACGTAAAGCTTATATTGAAGAACTTACTTTGAAAGGAGACCAAATGCGAGTGCTATTGAAAGAACGATTGCGTCTTCAAGAAGAAGAAGAAAAGGTGCAGAGTGAGAAAGCTGCTAGAGAAGAACTCGTCAAAGTCACTCAAGACCTCCATCACTTGATAAGTACTCGCACTGTTGCTGGAATCTACAATTCTGCTGCACAATCAGCACGTGTAACAAGTTTCGGAGTGCCTGTTGAGTCCCACATTCGTCAAAATGCTCACCGTGTTGTCACGTCAAGACTTAGTACCTTTCGAACACCAACAACTTTAGCACCATACCCTCCTTCCGACAAATCAACACTACAAGCATCAACTCCTTACGATGCTGTACAACTAGAGTCTCGCAAGGAAACAAAGTACGAAAAGTTGCGACGTATTGGTGCAGCAGACTTTGCTACTGTTTACAATGCCGAGCACGATGTTACTCGAAAACGTAATACGCCTGGGATTAATTCTGGGATTAAGTACTTGGATGATTGGCGCAATCCATACAAAAAGCGAGGTGTACCTCGCAATAAGCGCGATCTTGTCCCTCATTTGTCGACATTAGGACATTATCCAGATACTCCGTTCTACGTGACGTACGGTGGCAACAAGAGCAAAGTGCTAGCAAATGACCGCTTTGACGTGTAAATTGATATGATACAATAGAGAAAACGGGAATAAAGATATATTACCCATTTCCTATTCGTCGCTAATTTTCTTGAGCTCGTTCATGTTTGTACCAGCCAATGGCTCACCTAAAATGAAAATCAAAACCACAATAAAAGTGAATAATTAATTAGGTCAAAAAATACTAATGACTTACCAAAAAATTTGAGGCTAGAAATGATTGTTTCGTCCGCGCCATTATTCTCTTCCACAAAGATTGAGATGCTTGTCACGCGCTGAAACTTCACAAAACGTAGCTCAATGTCATTCTCAGGCACCAGATCTTCTTTCTTCAGCTCAATCGTCTGCGTTGCTTCAACGTCTGTAGCATCTGAAAAGCCTAAATTAGGACGATTTACAAACAACTTAATGACGCGTGGAGCTTCATCGGTTTGTGGTGCCACGATATTGATTGAAAATAACTTGACGGCGTCTTGAAATTCGATATACAATAATAATTGCTCTGTCGTAGAAGAATTAATAGCAAATACAAATATGGGATTTGAGAGTGACTAAGTCTCACTCACCATCAGCGTCGGACTTGAGCACTAAAGTCTCATTACCAGCAAAAAGATTGCGAAAGGGCTTGTTCGGATCCTCATTTAGGCAATAGCAGTCTTTAATACTAATCGCGTCTTTTAAATCTCCATATAGTCGAGATTTGGCCGCAGCCGTGGTTGAGCTCATGATACTTGGAGTTGTATGATGAAATCCTCCCCAAAAGCATATATCCAGATCTCAAGGTAGAATCTAGTTATGATTGTCAAATCTGATCTTGCTTCTCTACCCGTCAAAATTAATTCACTTACTCAAAACTTTACGAACGCTTTATTGTAAAAGCGCATACTTTTGTTATAAATGTCTTGCTCGACAACATGCTTTGATTCGATCCGACACTTCACTACAAAGAAAATCTCCAAGAGTATATCACAACATTATGTAATGTGTAATCGCTAGATCACGCAAGTGCTCAGTACCATAGTGGTGACATGCAAACGTTTAAATAATGCGTTCATGTATCCGGTTACTTAAAGAACATCAGTGTGTAGACTAACAAAATAATGACAGCTACATAACGAGACCCGTTCTGACTCCAGGAAAGAGCTTGTGAAGTGGCATTTATAACCACAAAGTTGTTTCAGTATCGTAAAGACAAACCTACAGCATACGCGTAAGAGGGTAAATAATGCACTTCTGTCTTGCACATGTGGTACGATTGTATAACATACAATATGTTTTTTCGATCGGAGGCACAAATGAGCTTCGAAGTGGAAAGAGAGACACTTTCATTATAAGAAACAGCTAACTGCCACAAAGTGTATAAGTCTATAAAAATAATCTACCCCAGAAATAGCAAAGATAACTCGCTCTTTTATCTACCTGTAAAGCACTTGATTTTGCTCCTGATAGGAGTGCACGAACCCTTTCTCCTACGTTTGTAAACGTAGACTTAGAGGTTCACAGCTTCCTCTGTGCCAAGTTGACGGCAACCCCATAGCAATATATCTTTTTTGGAGTAGCATTCAGCGTCGAAGGCTATGCTTCGGGCTATGCCGTCAACTACACAATGCTGCAGGTAGGGTAGTATGTTTAAAAAGGAGTGGTCACATTCTATACTCGATAGTAGAGATAATACAAGAATTCTCGCATATGTGACCGATATAAATCACACATCCTTTTGTCAAAGTGGTTGAACAATAAATTTCATCCGCCGTGTTAAATTAGATGGACTTAATCAGAGCCGAGAAAGATGAATATTTTAGTCGTACGCCTCAAGTATAAGCTAGTGATATTCCCGATTATTCTCGCAACAGGCAAAGATACCAGAGTCGACTGGCTCACGTCACGTCGGGGATTGTAGCGCTTTTGCAAAGAAAAGAATTATTTTTTAGTGAGATGCTAAGGTCGATCAGAATCGTTTGTATAAATGTCAAAAAGCTGAAGTTGGGAGCGCTTTGAGTAGGTATGATGCTCAATTCGGTGGGCAATAAGTAAGCTATGAGCATCACAACATATCGGTAGATCATGCTTTGACGCATTAAGCGCATATTAATTCTTCTATGCTAATTATGTTATCACTTTGAAGTGGTAATAAAGGAAAAGTTTAACATGCTTGTGTTTAAATACCGATTAAGCAAGTTTCGTTATCCTACTCCATTTTTTCAAGTCTCGTAGTTAGTCCGTCTTGTTCAGCGTAAGTAGATTAACCAAAGCAGCTCGTCAAACAAAACCGCGCTCTTAAGACCCACCTCGGCTGGTAACTTCAATAATCGATTGTTTGCAAGCCAATTAGCCCGACTGAGGTAGTCACAATGACACAGTGCGCTGTCCATACGTTAAAATAACACAATGCAGGCCATGTACTTTTCTACGGACCAATTTGCTAAACACATTGTTATGATGCGGCGGCAACGGCCAAGTATATCAGACAATCGCCACGTTGTCAGTAGCTTCGATATCACGTCATTTAAATAGTCGCGTTTGTAGACGTGCGTAAACATGTCTGAGCAACCCAGACACATCAATTTGATGCGGTATTAACGTGTTTTTAAAAGGGCACTGATGGTTTAATCGGTATACACGGTTGGGCTTAATCGCTTCGTGTGGTCTTCGAATGTTACATCGGAGAGCTTGCTACATTTGCTACGAAAGACCTTACGCAGTTAACCAAAATGCAGTGAGTGAATTCATAATTGACTGTTGATTCAAATTGATGCATATATAGTGAGGACTTCAAAACTGATTTTCTAGCTATTCAAGTCACTTCCAATTTGGATATGATTAAATGACTGTGTTTGTAAAAAGTATGAGCCTTTAACTAACGTCTGAGCTGCCCTGACTATGCTTAGTGTTTTACGACAAGCGAAGCTATCACGATAACTCAATACAGTAGCCGTTCGGGATAGTAACCTCGGCACATCCTCGTATAATTTTCTAGAAGCAGATTGCTGTGTCTTAGGTCATTTTCAAGTTCCGCCCGACCACCGGTACACTATAAATACGTATAATTTGGTGCCTTGATTATCACGCATTAAACATAGCTCACTTGATCTCTCTTTGGAGGGTATTATGGTCTGACATCATGGCGACTAATAAGCCATGTCGGCATTAATTTTTGTCTAGGAGCAGCTCCGCATCACACTCACCAATAACGGTGTCGCTGGCAGCATCATCTTGCTTAGACGGACCACAAGGGTCACAATGCTGCTACTACTCAACAAGATATAACGCCCACGAAAACGGTAAGCCAGAACTCTGTAGTAATTGGCAGACTGGACAGGGGTCATTAAATGATGTGGCTTCAACTTGCCAAATTTCGCACGTGCGCACTTTGGTACGTACCCGATTATACATTATGTAAAACCAGCATAGCAAAATCTAGATCGTATGTTTTCTCGGTATCGAGATGAAATCCTCTCAGGGATTGTTTGCTTGAGCTCCTCAGCATGTCGAACCACCACACCCTGCTTGTCGATCTGGGCTGTGCTATGATACAGCAAATTTGGAAAAACATTGCAAACGCTGGGCATATTGGCTCACGAACACTTTATTTTCAAGGTTTCCCCCAAGTACTGCACTTGTTGCGTACGACCCGTACGCCGTACGAATCGTACTATTGTGATGTGATAACACATGAATGTTGCAAAGGGCATCCGCGACAACGACTAACAGTCCAGGCTCATAGTTTATTGCAAGAAAACATATGTTAAAGAGGCAGCTCATTTTGTCGTCAGCCTGAGAAATGAGTTGACGACATGGTCGTGCGTATCGGTGCATGATCTGTATAGGTCTCAAAAGGCTTAATACCGAACACATGACCTCTGAATTTCATAAGGGCAAAATTTATATCAACTACTCCTTGTGATGAGCTGTCTCTTTAATGGGTGATACTCAAATGCAATGACGAGGATATTCTCACGGTCTTCCATTTGAAGTAAAGTTTTGCTTTGGCAAAGGCCGCATCGTCATAGAAGACATTTAAATGCAGATAGGACTTCGAAAGTGGCTGATTCAGACTTGGTAGGGCCGAGATAGGAGCGCGAATAGGATTATTGTAACCGACTTATTTGATATATCATCAGTAGCACATCCACACAGTTTGATATCATTTTCAGGAAAATTGGTGGAGAGCTGTGTCATGTCGGCATACTTGGATCGAAGTTGTTGACCAGGCAAGACGTATTTCTAAGTCTATTGAAAATAGAATTACTTGCCAGACTATAATGGCATGGATCTGCTTGCATCCCATATTTCCTGAATAAATACTGTAGAAAGGGGTGATCGGCGGGGCCAAGGACACACTCGTCTATATTGACAAGCTTGGCTGAGGGTATACGGCTTGAAAGCATTTGATGTTGACATTCACTTCCGACTCTTCGTGCTCTGCAAGCTATTCAAGAATATATTGTCGAAAAAAGTCTGTATGTATGCATGACGCATAACAAACAGCTGCATCACGAGACGATTGAGCATTGCTGGTGCATCGGGCAGTGTTTCAAATATTGCGAGACTCTCTGAAAGCATTCTGCTCGAAAACGCCCTGCATTGAGAGGCTCTCATGAGCGATTGAGGGTAACTTACAACTATCTGGTCGAGGTTTAAGCGACCATACTAATTCGCAGTATGGTCCGTTGAGAATAAATGCTCACGCTGAAATGGTGGCTGCATCAGGCATATCACATTATATATATGCACAATACGCCACCTGCGGTTTGGCATTCAGACGTATAAAGTGGGCACTAGTGAAAGCCACCTTCGTGTTTGCATGGAATGGAGCATCTACAACGTCATACTGATACCTTGGAAAGGTACCTCGATGTATCACGTATTGAGCTGCAAGAACCAGGTCTTTTTCATGCCGCACTCTCCTACCCGAGGGTTGTATCCGTCGCCCATGCGGGATCTCCCGTCACCAAATAGTATTATATTTTTTTCAAAGAAGAAAAGTATAAATATTAATTTGGTTGTTCATTATCTTCCGAATAACGAACTCATTTGTGATGGATAAAGAACCAAGCTCTCTCTGTACTAACTTTGCTAATTAGGTGACTTGCTGCCTTGCAACGCATTGCAGAAAAACGAGAATATTATTACATCTATATGCATATTTATTTATTAATTTGAGCTCAATGGCACTTCTGCCTAATAATTTGAAAGCGACTTCCATTTTCTACGATGATGTGCTCACGAATGTTGAAACCTTCGCAACAGATCCGTGAATATTCTGACGGTACGAGTTTATGTCGTTCCTGGCGCAATTCGTTTCAGCCATGCTGCGTCTAGGATGAGATCGTAGCTCGAATTGAGATCCAGGAGCGGACGACGCGCTTAAGTTTATCACAACTGTAACGTGGTTACACATACCCTGGTGTGAAGGTGTGGGTCACACAAGATGTTGCGACCATAAGGATGTGGGTTAAACAAGACGGTGTAATCACTCAATGGTGTGGCTACACCTTAACAATTAGTCAGTACGTGGCTGGACCGCCAGTAGGTATGCATTTTAATTAGGTTTTACTATTGAATTAGGAAGACTTATAGAGGAAAACTAGGGCGGCTTCGCCGCAAATAAAACTAAGAAATACAGTTAACATTCTGAATGGAAAAAATTATTTGCTTTGGGCTATGGTTTTGATTACTCTTGGAGCAAGCGAATTGCGATCCGCTGCACTCGTACTGGTTCTAAGTATAGAACAAAGGTCACCGACCTTTGCTTTGCTTGCTCAAAGTGAAAGAGCTACGGTAGCCCCGCTGCAGCAACTCACTATAGTTTGCCTTGTGGGGCCGTGTAGGGCCAGAAATTCCACGCATGGGACTCGTCAGCCGACCGATTGTGGGATCCCGATCCTTCATTCTCTTAACCGAGAAAAAAAGTGGCACGTAATGCGCAGGTGCTTGTTACTGCCGAAGATGTAGCATCTGCTAGTACAGATTGCAGCTTGACACCCCCCCCTTCGTCCTCGCATGACCTAGCTTTATTTTTTTCTAGAACGCTCTTGAAGCCGAGATCTCCGACTCTCCTTTTTTCGCGTCACAGAGGAAACATATGTATTTCAATGCGACAGCCACGCATACCTATAATCGGCTTGATCAACGCGGAGGGTCTTGGCCCAAACCGCATCTCCTCCATAAAGTTGGTAACTGATACCATCTCCGGTAGAGGGTCTGTGTCATCGTGGTGTTGAGAATTTTCACTTTGGACATAGCCCGCTAATCTTCGCCCCTCTGATGGACGCACACGATTTTTACTCTCCCAAGTAACACCTGGTTAAACTAGGCGAACACCTCATTCGATACTTTCTACGTAAAAAAACTCATTCTACCGAGGTGCTTCGCGTAAAAGCCATAAATGTGCACCTGCTTTTGTTTATAGAGCGCTAATGCGTCGCTGATGCTACATCTGGAATATGACCGAAGGCATGGTCGTCCCACACTTATTTTGTCCAGAGGGACACTTATCCCGTCGAGGGCACCTAATATACGCGGTATTGTGGTGGTAGCTGGTCGTGCTGGCTGATTGAAGTGTATCTAAAAACGTCATTTTTCACAGCTAGTTACCGCTTTCGAAAGAGCGATTTTTGCTTCCACATAGCGCAATAAGATGCAGATTGTGGAGATGAAGTACTGAGTCTTCGAGTCCGCGTTTGTAAACGCACAGGGGATGGGTTCACACCTAGCATAACCAAGTACTTTAGGCAGCGCTTTAACTTCAAGAGTGACATACAGCTAGATGAGTTAAGTTAATCTTTCTCTCTTTCTTCAAATACATACAAAGTGCATGGCGTGAGGCTGAAGCCATGGACAAATTTCTTACGGTGTCCCGTTACCCTTAGTAGTACCACTTTCTCAGTTTTTCGACAATAGTGTAATGTGTACGATACGTACCCCGTTACACTTATCAGTAAGTTCGGCTTTTAGCTTAATGCTGCAGGAATTGATACTGCGAACCGTACGATTATATTTGAGAGTTTAAGTGACTTGTATCTTATTAAATATCTTTACCTGTCATATCTGATATTAGCGTTATGCGTGCAACAATCCTAAACCCTAAATAATACTCAAAAATTTGCGCAACGTATGAAGCTGTACGTTGCGCTGGCGGTGCTTCGACTCATAGCGAGCGTACTATTCTTTGGTATGATACATCCAGATGAGTTCTTTCAAAGCCAGGAGGTCATGGCACGTCATATTTTGCCCCACGATTCAGTGCTTCGCCGTGAGCTCTTTGTCCCATGGGAATTTCAATTGCCCAACGTCAACCGTTCGATCCTTTTTCCGTAAAGTGTAAACTTGAAAATTCATGATTATCAATAGTATTTATAAATGTTTGAAAATACATATTTTCTAGTGCATTAGTTGTTGGAGTTCCGTACAAGGTGCTGGAGTTATTGGGAGTCAAGTTAACAGGGTGGCTGCTGCTCGTGACGCCCAGAGTGCTGCTCTGTCTCGTGTCTTTTCTTATTGATGTAATTCTATACCGTATTGTCGGCAGATTAAATCGACATCAAAAGTTGGATATCCAACAAAAAAAACAGATGCAGGCAATTTTAATCTTTGCCAGTTCATGGACGACGTTGGTGTTTATGTGTCGACCATTTTCCAATACATTTGAAACACTAGTGCTTGCTTTATGTTTCGGGGTATTATACCTTATTCATCCGGTAAGTTATGATATTACTTATTTATCTATTATACGTAACTGATGAGAGAATGATAGTCTCGACGCATGGGATATGGAATGTTACATGTGCAAACAATTCTTCTTGGAAGTTTGCTAGCAATTGGAATCTTCACACGCTTTACATTTCCAGTCTTTTTCTTTCCACTTGGAGTTGAACTTGTGCGACAACAAGATACTTTGCTAATGATTACTGCACGAAAAAAAGACGTTATGAACTCGCCTTCGATTTTGCGCAGACTCCTAACGACGATTAGTATATTGATACAAGGGTTTATCGCATTTGTGAGTTTGGCTGCTCTGTTTGTTGTCGTGGATACTTTGTACTTTCATCCCGAATTGTTTACTGGTGAAGTGGACCGAGCGCTTTTCGAAAAAGTTGCTGAAAATACTGTGATTGCACCTTATAATAATTTTTTGTACAACATTCAATACGAAAATTTAAAACAGCATGGTGTTCATCCACGACTCACCCACCTAATCATCAATATGCCTATCCTGTTTGGTCCAGTGTTCCTCAATTACCTGGTTCAAGTTCTCCGATTTCCAGATTGTTCGTTCTTTGAAATATTTTCGGTCTTCTTTCCGCTAATTTGCTTGTCGCTCGCTCCACACCAAGAGTTAAGATTTCTACTGCCGCTTGTCGTGCCATTGCATTTATTTACAGCATTAAGTGGCAGAAATGGAACTAAGCGCTTTCTGGTAAGAGTTAAATTTGGGAGAGCGATCTGGATATTGTTTAATTTCGTGTTAACGCTCTTTTTCGGTATTTTGCATCAAGGTGGTATTGTGCCCATGCTGTTGTCACTTTCTTCTATTGCGCATAATGGATCAATGACCAACACGTCAACAATGTGGCTGACATCATATTGTAACTTTGATGAAAGTAATAAGTTGTCTCCTGAATTGATTGGCAAGGTACCGCTGATATATGTCAAGACATATATGCCACCTCGTTTTCTTCTAGCAGGAATGGAACTATTGCCTAAGTTTCAGCTTGTGGATTTTGCAGGAAATTCTGCGCCTGATCTAGAATGGCTGAGCTACGACAGCCCGGCAAAAAACTCTACTGTAGCCTTTTTGGTGCTACCCACTAGCATTGGGATCAAAGACATCAGCTCTTCCTTGACACCTTTCACTGTGCTGAAATATGGACGATGCTTTCCTCATATCTCAACTGAAGACTTCTCAAGTGATACGTTCTCATTGGACTTATACTCGTTGAACTTGAGATTAGAAGAGGCTTCGCAAAGACCTTAAGTCAATACGAAGCATTCATTTTTTGTAGCAATTTTTTGGCAAATCACTTGGAAACACAAGTGTTGATATTGTTCTAGCAATATTTCATTGTTCTGGCGCAAAAGACCATCGACCTTTTAGTTTGAACAATTTTTATGTTTAACACAGCAGCAGATCAAAGAGTTAAGTTTCTGATTGGAATTGACAGAGGTAGCTGTAAAGCACAAAGCAAGTTGATACAATGTGGAGGGAAATAGGTCAATGGTCGAAATTGCAATGACAGGCATGATGTAAGAAAATCTGGAGATAGATTTTTGGTATAACTATGATATTAGCTTTTAAGAGAGATTCGACGGTCGATGAGATCACATAAACTGCCAACACTATAGACTTTCGCCTACCTCCTTGTTAAATGAAACTCCACTTCCAACGGCTGTGTGATTGCATCACAGCAACTTTTAACAGAAACTTTGATGCTGGTCTACCCTAGCGGGTGATACATTTTCTGGTGATCACTGTAGTTACAATGAGCTTGCAGTTGATAGTGAAGACGAAAAGCTGTTTGTGCTTTTATGACAACGCAGCCTGACAAGCCGTTGTTTAGGCATCGTATATGCATAGTTTCGCTCTCTAGTATCCCTTTCTTGCTAATTAAGCTAATCGATGGTATATTCACGTATGAGGTAAATCTTTCATGCGTCGTCAGCTCATTGTTCTCACCGATAGTCTTTGCAGCCCCTGTACTAAATTTGCGTGATGAATCAAAGCAGTATTTTGGTGCTCATAATGCTGCAACATTAATGTCGTCGAATATACTTGAAGTATTCTGTCAAGGTGTTGGTTACACGGAATTACTATGGCTACCCATCATTTGATCTTAAACAATTTGACGAAAGTAAATTGAAGATGGGAAATGTCTGATCCTCTACTATACCGACAGTCTTCATTGTGTAAGACACATCAACCTCTACCTTCTACTTGCTTTGGTCACTGCCAAATGGAGTGGCTCGACATTGCAAAGGACCTGAATGCTGGCACCGTCGGTGGCGTTGCAGGCATCGTGGCCGGCCACCCTTTGGACACTGTCAAGGTGCAACTCCAAACCAGTCGTGAAACGAGCGCTGGTATCGTTCGTACATTGCGCAAGGTCGTAGGGTCCGATGGCGCCGCTGGGCTATACAGAGGGCTATTATCCCCAATACTGAGCAACGCGCCCATCAATGCTGTCGTGTTCGGTGTACAAGGTCAAGTGGTACGAGGTTTGCAGAAGGATGACACGTCTTTGTCAAGTGCTCAGCATTTCATGGCTGGTTCGAGCGCTGGGTTGGTCCAAGTACTCTTTGCAGCCCCTTCGGAACATGTCAAGATTCAGCTTCAAACGGGGGCCATGGGAGCTGAACACAGCTCTATCATGGCAGGACGCATCATATTAAGAAAATATGGAGCTAAAACTCTTTTCAAAGGCTGGCAAATGTGTCTTTTAAGAGACATTCCTGCTTTTGGGGCGTATTTTTGTGGGTATGAAGCGACAAAGCGATGGCTTACGGAAGGAAAAAACGAGAATGAGACAGATCTTAAGCTCATGATGGCGGGAGGTATCGCCGGGATGTTATCGTGGATGGTGAGTATGCCGCAAGATGTTGTGAAAAGCTGTGTTCAGAGCCAAAGTCTTGAAGGAACACAAATGACTATTACGCAAATTACAAGAACAAGGATGCGAGAAGAAGGACCGCGTTTCTTTTTTAAAGGATTTAGCGCTACAATGCTACGAGCATTTCCAGTCAGTGCAGTGACATTCCTTGTGTATGAGAAGACGATGCAGTGTATGTCTTAGCACACAGTTGACTTGTAGGGGAAACTGGAAGGATTAAATAAGTGGGTTTTGTTGGAGAATGTGATACAAATAGAAATTGTTTGCAAGTGATTGTTTAGAACGAAAAGTGCACCTTGCTTCGAGGCTACTCACACTTTTATTTATCGTAATTAATGGCTTATGAGGAGGTACTTGTTATCGAGAACTAATCCCGTCACTTTCAAGCTGTCAATGTGTTGAAAGCTAGAATTATGCCGCTTCGTATGGACAATAATATGGTCGACTCGACCGAACTTATGTTCATCACACGTAAGAAAAGCTTTAGTAGTGTTACCACGGTGTCTTGTGGGAATGGTAAACCGTATCTTTCTTTTGTCAATCTTATGCAACTTCACAGGTCTATTACCTTCATAATGTTGAATGACTTGTCAATCGTATCTTTCTTTTGTCAATCTTATGCAACTTCACAGGTCTATTACCTTCATAATGTTGAATGACCTTGTCAATCGCTCATTAAGCAATTTGCTAGCTCAATTTAGAGTGAATTTCAAGAGTGAAGCTCATGCCGCGCATTGAGACTGAAGTCCGTTTGGACTTTAAGGACGTGCTCATTCGACCTAAACGCTCTACGCTTAAGAGTCGCTCGCAAGTAGACGTCGAGCGTGAGTTTCGCTTTCGCAATTCAAGGCGCACGTGGTCAGGCGTGGTATGTACAACATGACAATTTTTAAATCTCAATTTAATATCACTCTTTCGACTATATCTATAGCCCATAATTGCTGCAAACATGGATACGGTCGGGACGTTTGAGATGGCTGTGGAATTAGCAAAGCAGCGATTCATTACATGTGTGCACAAACATTATACAACTCAAGATTGGGCCGCCTTTGCGGCCCAACACAGCGAAGTACTTCCTACTGTGGCTGTAAGTGCCGGATCTAGCCCAGCAGACATTGACAAGGTGACGGTCATTCTCAAAAACCATTCAGATATCCATTTCATTTGCTTAGATGTAGCCAATGGCTACTCGGAGTCTTTTGTCCAAGCTGTACGCAATGTACGTTCTTTATTTCCAGAACACACGATTATTGCGGGCAATGTAGTGACTGGAGAAATGGTAGAGGAGTTGCTCTTGTCGGGAGCTGATATCATCAAAGTTGGCATTGGTCCAGGATCAGTGTGTACTACGCGAAAACAAACAGGGGTTGGATATCCCCAGCTCTCTGCTGTCATCGAATGCGCTGACGCGGCGCACGGTCTTAATGGTCACGTGATCTCGGATGGAGGCTGCACATGTCCAGGCGATGTTGCGAAAGCATTTGGTGCTGGAGCGGACTTTGTCATGCTTGGTGGTATGTTAGCTGGCCACGATGAGAGTGGTGGTGACAAGGTAGAACTTAACGGAAAAGTTTTTAAAAAGTTTTATGGCATGAGCTCATCAGAGGCTATGAAAAAACACAGCGGAGGAGTAGCTGAATATCGGTCCTCGGAGGGAAAATGCGTGACAGTACCGTATCGTGGTCCTGTTGTGGCAACATGCAGGGAGATATTGGGAGGTGTACGCTCTACTTGCACGTACGTTGGAGCCAGCAAGTTAAAAGAAATTAGCAAGGTGTGGTTTTTGATGTTTTGATGCTTGCAAAGCAGCGATTCGGTGCTGACCCTTAATTGATGTTTTGCAGCGCACGACATTTATTAGGGTGTCGCAGCAGCTGAATGAAATCTTTGGACGTGCTCCAAATGAGCAAGAGGAGCAAGTACTAAAGAAACAGAAGATCGTTTAAAGTCGAAGAGAGAACACAGAGGTCGAAGATTTTCTAATACATAATCATTGCAATTTGACAATGTGATAGGTGTACTACAGCCTTGATGATCAATCAAGCTAAAACCGCTCTTCTTACGCTGATTTTATGCATATATATACCGTCGACTTACTTCGAGCTTCGTAAATCTAATTATTTTGATAGAATTAAGATTCGCCGAAAAAATAAACGCTGAAGCCTAATCTACAGAAATCCTCTCGCTCTAGCTCTAAAATTACTTAACTTCTAACTTCGAATATACGCCATTTTATTTTTCAATTGCGTTTATTCGCCCCTGATTATGTGTTCCATATACTCGCCTTCTGTGACGTGGCGGGTAAGAAATTAATTGCCATGTCCTTAAAACGTAATAATTTTTCAATTCATCGATTCACGGCTATACGCGGTAGTGAAGAAATGATTTGCAAGTTGAAGTGTGCAATTTGAGCTCAGAATCATCTGTTCGAATGCGTGCCATGGTCCTACAAACGATAAGGCTTGAGCCAATCGAGCAACCCTGGGCGATCAGCCACCAGCTTCCACTTCGCAAAACATCCGATCCAAATTGAGAAACTTCAACACAGCCAAGCCGGCGATTTCTTGATAACGGCAAGAGTATTTACTAATTTTCTTATGTAATCTCGAGGACAAAGATGTCTTGATGAGCGATAAGAAATAAAATTCCTTAAGACAATTTAAATCAAATCATCAATAAGCTCATGAAAACTGGACCTCCATTTGTTGCGTCAAGAAGATGCTAAGAACATACCATGGAGGAACGCGAGCCGTTTCGTGAACAGCCAAATCATTTTGCTCGGTCCTGACAATGAGAAAATCGTTCAAGCACAAGGCTCAATGAGTTGCCATGCTTTGGAGCAATGATGAGACAAGGACAGGACGCCTAACAACGACAGAATTGGTGCTGCATTGCATTACGTACAAGTGCACTTTCTTATATTACTTGGCCACCAAATTTCGACAGTCCAATTTGCAACTTCGCTTCGTGTTTTTTATACCGATAACCCGCGGAATCGTTCTGGCAGTCCAGCTTCGAAGACTAACGAAAGATTAATGTTTAGTAAGGAAATAATGATTGTTATCATCATTTTATTCGTATTTTTCTAGATTACTTATGGAACAGTTTGGTACCAACAAATAATCAGGTCCACGTATCCACCACGTGCCACAGTATTTTCCAATGCTGATACCTGATTCAGATATTATTCCTGGCCTATTCTCAATTTCGACCACCTTTTATTATTAGAAATGAGATAATGGCCTGTTTGTGATTCTTGTGTAGGAATGTGAAATTTGCCGCTGGACACATGGAGCTTCTTCAGGTACAAGTCTTGATTGTAATCTAAATTTTACTTAAAAGTCCAAGCAGACAAGGGAATAATTGCCAGATTATAAAATGATTTAGGGCAGTCACAATCTGAAGACCAGTGATCAAATGTTAACCAGAAGCTGCTAGAGCAAACTAAACTTTTGTACTAAAATTTTAAATTCTTTGGCATATCAACGTTCGATTTTATACTTTCTAGGAATACTGACCATGCAGAGTTCTTGTCCTCTTGAACAGTAAGACGACCCAAAATGCTGTTAATGCTGTCGACGGGATATTTTCCACCCCGAAGACTAGTTGATGCATCGATAATGCCTTTGGCGGAATCCCTCCTTCCGATCTTTCCCACGGGTGAAGTGCCGCCGTCTTTAACTTTCAAGCGCGAAGGAGTTTTGGGCGACTCTTCGTTTTTTAATTGTTTCTTGACGCCTTCAGATAGTGCTATCGTAGCAAAAAGGATGAAAAAGGCCAAACGCATCGCAGACAACAGTCGTTGTAGTGGCAGTGGTCGTAGAAGCAAGCAGAAATAAAAGTGATTGATGACAGATCTTATGGATAAAGAAATCGGAATTGGTATTTGTGGAGCCCAGCCTTGTAGATCAACGCATCAAGATCAGATGATGCTGTACTGTCTGTCAGCAAAAGGATAGAAATTTTAGCTCCGACTTGATCTGTTCAAAAAAAAGGAGTACCATTCTTCGTAAAAATTTACATGAACGCTTGCCGTTCTGAGCAAATCAAATACACGTCGCATTCTAATTTGAAGCTACAGCGTGTGCTGATACTGATGGATAGACCCTTGATAGATCATCGCTATCTTTAAAAAAGCTTTGCTCCGCGATCCCACCCAGATTTAAAATTTTTGTGCGGAGCTTGATCTCAAAGATAGCTCTGGAGGACACATAAGCAGCTTGTTATCTTTGCTTCTGTTTATCACGTGTAATTTTAAAGACGCGAAGGTAAGCAATCTTCTCAATTATGACCAAAACCTGACACCCGAATCGTTTGAAACATATCTATGCAGCAGTATGATATCGAATCTTGTCATTTTGAAGGGTTAGATCGATGGTTGTGGTGCCTTCAAAAAAATTTCAACTAGTATTTTAAGAAAAGTCGCTGTGCTGATAGATGAAGTACTGTAATTTCATTTATTAAGTAAAATAGTGTTGCCTGTCTTCTTCAACGTCTCTGATCATGAGTTTCTTGAGCCCGAATCTTTTATGATTAAGTAAATAAGACGAGAACTGCTCTCGCTGATCTCTTCTGCCCAACTCTATCTGTATCCGGTTCACTTGAGATTATAAAAGGCCCAAACTCCTCTAAATGACTCATCACGTCCTTTTTTCTTGGCGGTCTCACGAGACTATTCCTATGACAGCTTACATATGGTCAATGAATTTTCTTGTTTGGATCACATCCATTACCTTAGAATTTCAAGCATGATTCAATCTAGTTTGTTGCTACCAAAAATGTTGACCATATTATCGCAGTAAGGTGGATAAATGTGTTGTCTGTTCTATCAAAGAGGCTTACTGCATTATTGGCACAAGAACAAGAACTTAATAAATCATTTGTGTATGACTTAAAAATTTAGTTGCCGACGACATACAACCAACAATTTCATTTTTTGCTTGATTTTTAAGGTTTAATGATTGTAGGCGATCGGCAGGAATCTGTCTCCGCGCGAGGGATCGACACTTTGAACATTTCGCCACAGTGCAAAGAGCTTTTGGCTTATCCGCAGATGTAGCATTGCGACACCGCCTAGCACCCTGAAGATGTTTCCAGTTGGACCGCCAGAGGTGATAAGTCCCAGTCAAGAGCGGTAGCTATGTTTTCTGGTTGATACAACTTGAGAAAGGTCTCCGGGATGCAGGATCTGTACGGATTGATACGTGAAAGTGGAAATTGTCGACCGATTCTGAAAATGGGTCAGCCATTGTTGTAGCTTTTATAGCTTATAATCTTAGGGTATTTTCCCACAATTTTTGTCGGGAAAAAAACTCGTTGATCGCATGCGATAATGCAAGCTGGCTAAGAGGCAAAGGCTCATGACATCTGGTACTCTAGTATTTCTATATCAAAACGTTGAATAGAAGGTCAAATTAAAGTGAATTATTACTTTCCATCCGAACCGGTCAGTCTCACCGTGGCTCTATTCCTTCTTGCCGTATGCAATCATCATTTTATGCTTGCTTCAAGGCACTTGTAAGTGAACAAGTCCTTCTGTGCGGAATCATGTGGGGAGTCGCTTCACTGTTGATCAGCCATCCTGTTGATCTTCCTTGACCAGCAGCATACACCGCGTTGTCGCTGTTGTATCGCGGTAAGCTTCGCTTCATGGGTCCAAACTTGTCACACTTGAGGCACTTGCCTTTAGACCCATCGTTATTTATTGGGGCACAACCTTTTCGTCCATTGTCCATTCCAGTTTTGAATCATCTAACGCTTCCATTTGCGCGAAACGCTTCTCCGTGGCTTCTATTATCTGTAGCTTCTCCGATTCCTTGAGCAGCTTCTTCTTGACCACCATCAGTGTTATGTCCTTTGTATTTTTGAAAATCGACGAAACTAGTCCGTACTCCGAAGGCAGAAATATCAGAAGTACCGCCAGCTGGTGTGACCCATCTACAGGCTCCTTTTAGTCTAGAGTCCTACTACCAGCTCGTCGAAAGAGTCCAGATGTTCTGCCATGCTTGTAAGAATCGTGGAGTCGACGCGTCATCGTCATACGATTGTGAAGCGTCGAGCGACTGAAGAAATCACGAAGGGTCTCCCAGGCCTCTATGGCACGCGTAGCCGACCGAATTCTGGTCTGATGTTTAATCTCGACACCCTCCGCGATGATGCCAAGTGCCTTGGCGTCATTCACAATCCAGGACTCTGTGATGTCGTTCTCATGACAGCCTTACCAGGGTCATCCTCATATTAAACTTCCAGTAGTAATAGTAACCAGCCGCCGAGAAGACTTCGGTTCCCTTGTAGACCATGGCGATAAGGACGCTGATTTGGAGAAGGCTTAGTTGCGGCTGTTAACACGTTAATTAGAAGGTGAATATATTTAGGTCCTTAGTTCGCTAACCTGTCATACCTCTAAGCCTATCCTTCTACATCCTTCTAAAAGATTATACAAGCAATATTATTTGTCTAAACGAATAAACGACTCTTGTCATATCTGTATTTAAGTTTTTCGTAATCGAAGTACTGGAATCGTTATATAACACCGTGATCGCATAAGCGCCATATCGGGCTATTCAGCGGTGCAATCCCACCAAAACTTTCAGGGTTGTTGATTGATTTCAGCTTTATAGTCTGTAGGACCAGATTATGCATTTGAACAAATGAGTCTGAGCTCAAACTGAACACCTCAACTGCATATCGTTTCTCCACTACCGCCATAGCCGTGGGCCAATGACACGGTGGAATCAACGAACTGAGCGATTCTTAAGCTTGTTAAAGGACCTGACAGCAGGCGGCAACGAAACGTAAAGTGAATACATAAATTCCTTTTTTGTGTTACATCTGACACTTTTTGAAGTATTTTGCCAAATAGTCTACTTGATTTCTAGCTGATTTATTCCTTGATAAATACCAGGTCTGTCATACCCTGGAAATACACTTCTCTATATTTTTCAGGTGCTCAATATACGGCTGCTGTCGAGATGTGTGCTTGCTAACAATTCGCACAAGTGGCTTTGAATAGCGAATTGACAAATAGGCTTATGAATCCTTTACGGTACTTCCGGAGGCACAACAAATTCAGATCTCTGATATAAGGTTTAAAAAAGGTCTCGTTGGCCCAGACACTTTACATGAAAGTAAGTGGATTAGGCGGATGTTTTGGAAGCTTTCTGATACGAGGCCAAGGATCAAAGGTGCTGACTGTCTCAAAGAAGAACAAAAGTGTAACAACGCTATAGCGTCACGCTAATATTTCAAATAGCCACTCAGTGGCCAGCCTGGCACGTGCTAGGCTGGAGCAACAAAATGTTTGCGCTTCACGTTGAATTTCGAATTCAACTTCAGCTATACGCATTCTTTTTATATTCGAAATTGTATGAACTACGGTTCGTATCACGGCCCGGTTAAAGTTAACTGCTATCGGTGCCTAACCTATCGAACTGTCAAGATTTTTTACAAGTACGTTCAAGAATCTTCAATACTTAGTTGAAGAGATAAGAACTGGACTAGCTAGCTACAGGGTATTTAGTGAACCAGGATTCTTAGACCTATAACCATTTCAATCTCACTTTTCAAATTTCCTTCTTCGGAGTATGTCTGCTCCTTTAGCCTCGCCTCGGGTTCCCTGCTGAACCCTCGCCTCGCTTCAAGACCTTCGCTTCACGACTCTTCGAGATTCCCGTTGGGATCTTAGCT